TTGCAGGAAATTGTAAATGAGGAGATTCTGGGGCCTATACTTGCCTCTTGATGAGTTTACACTGTGCGGAACTTGGAGGCAGGGGTTCATTTGCTATATTTGTCTTCCAATTCCTTTCAAGATGCATCAAATTATTTGTTTCAATCATTTTCTCTTTCATATTTCACAGGAATAATAACCAGAAGGACTCAAAAAATTTGACTTACAGAGGTTTCAGAAAAAAAGAATTCAAGTCAGGGAGGTTTTTAATGTATTGATTTCAAGGGAATTCAGACAGGGACTTGAAAAAAATTTGACTTAGGGAGGTTCCACTTATCAAGGTTCACCTGTATACAGTATAAAGGTTTGGAAATCCTTTTTTGAATGAACAGTGAATAACCAGCAGTGCAGTGGGTTCTCACCCCCAACCACATACAAATATATTTGTACATATTTTTTCTCTTCTGAGCTTCTTTATATTCAATTTTTTCCAAGCATAATAAGATGCTTATTTGGACCTATCGACCTATCGAAATTGGACCTATCGAATTTGAATAACATTCCCAAATCAAAAACCTCCCTGTGTAAAATGTTGTTTTTATCTCACTTTATCATGTTTTTATCATATGTCTGAATTCCCTTAACCCATCTGTGGCAAATTTAGGATACAGTATTTTTGCAAATTTGTATGCCCAAAAACTATGCAAGTCAAATTGTGCGTGGGTACCTCTGAATGAAGTCAACTCAAAATGATTCAACTGTGAAGTGGATGCATCCTTCGAGATTTGATGGAAAAAAACTCATATGTTTCAGGATTAATGAAATGTTTACTTGTCACCCCCACCCCCCCCCCCCCCCCCCCCCCNTTTTTTTCAGGATTAATGAAATTTTTCCTTGTCCCCCCCCCCCCCCCCCCCCCCCCCAAAAATTGTAATTCGGCGAGAGAAGTGCTTGAATTTTACCCACAAAATTTATGCATACATGATAGTTCAGGAGTAAAAAAAAAATTCCTGGCATTTTCCAAGTTTTCAAAGAAGATGGATTTAATTGGTCCGCTTGTTGGTGATTCCGGGGGGGTGGTTTCGGGCCCTCTTTTATGTACGCAATAATAAGGCGCCTCACCTGCCGAGAAATTCCTCTATAGTTCAGCCTTTCTCGGCAAAAGTTCCCGTTCTTTCCTCAAACAAAACATTTCTCGGACTCAATCACGGAAAATACTGTAATGTAAATATATAAGAGCATTGACGACGGGATATATATGCGGGGTGGAGGGGGTAAACAAAAAGAAAGACCAAGCCCATAAAATGCTATGGGAGCACACACACACACACACATCAAGTTGTCAGGGAGATGATTGCCCACCCAAAGCCCGCAATCATTGCATTACCTTCAACTGAGTTCTCCGCGGAACAATAAAGTCTGCGGCTCGTCGTCGGCGGGGCCCGAAACGAGCGGTCATCCTCATAATGGCCGGTGGCTGCTGTGCATGTGTGTGTGTGTGTGTGTGGCGGGTTATGCCATCCGAAGCCCGTCAATTGCTGCTTTGTTTCTAACCCAATTTCCCTTCTCTCGCCGTCGTCTGTATTCTCTTATTCACGGAGAGAAAAAAATAAAAAATAAAATAAAATCAATTCCTGATCTGGGATATGGAAAGAAAAACGTATGTGTATATAACACTGGGTTAGGCAGAAGCAGAAGCAGCTGCTGCTCGTGTGCCAGTATATATTGCAGGAAATTTTGTCTTTATTATACTCGCGAACCAACCGCGCGATGGGTAATTTAGAAAATCAACCATACACGAGGTTAAACAGTTTAGAACAATTATTTTTGCAGCCGTGCCGAGGGTTATTTCATTAGCAGTTGAAACCCTCAGGCGCCCAAAGGTTGTATTGTATACTGTATATGAAGAGGGCCCTGTGTTGGGCTCGAGTTAGTGCTTATAGCGGAAACCTCTTGACAAAAACGCCCCATTATTCAGGAGATGTATTGATGCGAGTTTGCTTTTTTTTTCTTTCAGAAAATCAGGTTTTAACAATTGTTTTTGTCACGAGTTCTCACTCAGTGTTTTATAGTGCCCTCAGGGTTCAACCTGGGGTTCCGGCAGAAGATCCACGCTTAGGATTGCGTAGAAAAATATGTTCAAATGTACAATATGTTTTGAATACTCAAGATTGAGTAAAACAATTTCTCACAAGATTTCCCAACGGCAGTAAATTGTCAATAACATTGATTCTAGCAAGAGTTTGACAATTCAAAAACTTTGAAAGCATCTATTGTTTAGATTGATGAATACAGTAAGTTTATAAACGTATGAAGGCTAAAATATTTCACAGGGGAAATTCCTTTGGAACAAATTCCGTTATACTGTAGCAAACTATTTGTGATCCAGAAACAAATACGAAAGTGCTGCATATGTAGGCAGAAACACATACAGTGAGACCCAAAGATGCAGACATAATCGGTGCATCAAAAGTGTCCCCAAGTCAAAATGTCCCCCAAGTTGAGTCCTGTTTTCCCATAGGCTTATATTATATAATTTTCAATTGGAGTACTGTAATATTGAAGAAATAAGCGATGGGTAATTTAGAAAATCAACCATACACGAGGTTAAACAGTTTAGAACAATTATTTTTGCAGCCGTGCCGAGGGTTATTTCATTAGCAGTTGAAACCCTCAGGCGCCCAAAGGTTGTATTGTACTGTATATATGAAGAGGGCCCTGTGTTGGGCTCGAGTTAGTGCTTATAGCGGAAACCTCTTGACAAAAACGCCCCATTATTCAGGAGATGTATTGATGCGAGTTTGCATTTTATTTTTTCAGAAAATCAGGTTTTAACAATTGTTTTTGTCACGAGTTCTCACCCAGTGTTTTATAGTGCCCTCAGGGTTCAACCTGGGGTTCCGGCAGAAGATCCACGCCTAGGATTGCGTAGAAAAATATGTTCAAATGTAGAATATGTTTTGAAGACTCAAGATTGAGTAAAACAATTTCTCACAAGATTTCCCAACGGCATTAAATTGTCAATAACATTGATTCTAGCAAGAGTTTGACGATTCAAAAACTTTGAAAGCATCTATTGTTTAGATTGATGAATACAGTAGGTTTATAAACGTATGAAGGCTAAAATATTTCACAGGGAAAATTCCTTTGGAACAAATTCCGTTATACTGTAGCAAACTATTTGTGATCCAGAAACAAATACGGAAGTGCTGCATATGTAGGCAGAAACACATACAGTGAGACCCCTTCTACGTCTGTATTAGCCACGTAGTTTTCACAGGGGTTCAGTTTTACAGGGGGTTCAACTCAGGACAAAAGGGTATCCGAATATAATATATTAAAAGTTAACCTCATGACATTATAACTTCTTTATTTCTTCAGAATTCCCTGAAAAATTTTTTTGTCTATTTGAATTTGAATTAGTGAATACATTTTCAACTCAATAAGAACATTTGGAGCATTGAATAGTGTATCTCTGTACTACTGTACACTGAAATTTTGGCATTTACAAAAATAACATTCAAGCGAAAAAAGTAGAAGTCCCTCTATTCTGGAGGTAAATTTTTAAAATTAGCTAAATGGATGATAAATTGGTGAGAGAAATCCCCAAGAAAGTTTCTTACACCAATTTTAGGGTTGGAAATATCTGTTTCTTGTAATTTGGCCTGAAATTTATGTGCAATTTTCTCACAAAATGTCCCTATGTTGAGTCAGTGTCCTCATGTTGGGCCTTATTTATTAATTTTTTCTGGGAAAATAAGTGCCCCTATGTTGAATTGTCCACAGGTCAAGGTGTCCGCATATGTGGGGATCTCACTGTAAATTTGATTCTGAAAAAGATTGTTTCTTTGAAACATTTGTGATTTATTAATATGAAATTATTTCTTGGGTGAATGATCCAGGCTCCCCCTACAACAAGCATCAGACAGATTGTGCTTATGAAGTATTCAGTACAGTATTGCCTCCATTGTCATTTTCTTGCATTTGAATGGAGCAATTCAGAATCAATATTTACTGCTCAGTATTCATAGCATGAGAAAAATTGCTCGTTTCAAAAGAAAATCACGAAATACTTCAATCAGAAAATATAGTTGAATATTTTCAACAAAGAAACTGTGACTAATTTTGATGCAAAACAATGTGTTGGGACAATTCTCCTGGGATACATTTTTTATACTGGTCAGGTGAGGCAAAATAAAATTTGAATACAGTACCGTAATCATTTTGCAATGAATTTCTGATTGGAATTTTTGGAGCCCATAAAAATACTGTGTTGTCCCAAGATGTTCCAAGTGTGGTCCTCCAAACGCTGTGGTATCGTATGCGTTGCCCTCTACATGAGGGGAGTTCAATTGTCTCCCATAATTCAGATTATTGTTTTTCTTTTTCCAAAAAATTATAATCGCGAACAAGCCGATTACGAGCATTATTTCAAGATACTTCTCTAAAGGGTTTCTTTTTTTCTGCGATTCTATTAATGTTCAACGCAAGCATAATTGGGGTACCGTCAATTATTAAAGAAACAATTCGCCAGTGACAGGGCATCATTTACTTAATCAATTGAAACGAATGGCTTTTTATAGTTCCTGCAAATCCTCATCAAATTGATTGTGCTGGAAAAACCTTTGTCATTTTAATCCGACGTCCGAGGGTGAACAAAAAAAAGTTTGTGCAACTGTGGTACTGTACATACCGAAGGTTCAGATGCGTTTCAAGTTCAAAGACGAAAACATAGGTGTACTGAAAAATGCGTACGTAGTATTCGTTGGGATGCTTTAGTTATTGTATGATCAAGAATCAAGATCAGTTGCTCATGAATGCGTCCACATTGTCAAGAAAGGCAGAACTTATCAAATTCCAGACAATCTTTAGACTAATATTGTCAGAAAAGTCATACAGCATTTTGCAAAGGCTGTGTGATGCCAGAATTTGTTCAATCGTTAAAAATACTTTGAAATAGTTCCCAAGATGAAGCGCAAACACTTTTGAATCAACATGACAAGAAAAAAAATGCATAACAATCGTGGTCAGGGCAAACTTACTTTTTTCCAAGAAAACAACAACGAACTCAGAACACAACACGTCCTTTCCGAATAGAACGTTTAACTTTCTTCTTCATCTTGGCTTGATGACGCGATTTCAGGTTCGTCTTCCGCTTCTCCTGCTGCTGCTTCTGCTTCTCAGCAAGATTCCCTTGTCTTTCTTTCCACTTCTTCGTGGAAGATTTCTTCTTGATTTCGATTCTCTTGAGGGATTTCTTCACCTGTTGGTACGAGAAACGTGACGAAAAAATAGCACTTGCTCTGCCAAGTTCAGCTCGCCGAAGTAATATTTGGACAGGAGTTGGTACTGAAATAACTTACAAGCTTCATGTCATCCTTGACTTTCACGCCTTCTGCTTTAGCCAACGCGTTCTGCCAGCTTTTCTTCTCCTTCAGAGACTTCAACCCTTCCTCGTCTCCTTGCTTCTTGAGCTTATCTTCTTTTGCCTTCGTCTTTTGAAGAGACGTCAGGACCCTCTTCAAATTTTTACCGGATTTCCTCGTCTTTTCGGTGCCTTGGGAACCCTGGGAATATTCAAAAGATTATGATTAAGGAAACAGGAATCGAATACAGCGAAGGTTCCTCAGAAGTACATCCAACTCTTGGACTTATTTTTACCGGATTTCCTCGTCTTTTCGGTGCCTTGGGAACCCTGGGAATATTCAAAAGATTATGATTAAGGAAACAGGAATCGAATACAGCGAAGGTTCCTCAGAAGTACATCCAACTCTTGGACTTTCAAATTTTTCACCAAAATGATTCGAAAATCATCACACAAATGTATTTCCGGTGACTGCCTTTTTTCGTTTTCATTAAAACTTATAACGCAAATTAAGTTTTATACACGCAGAAAGAGATGAAACATTTTGACTTTCCTGCCTCAACAGTCTACAGTATTTTCATTTTCCTCTGCTTAAAAATATTGAAAAATCACAGAAAAAATTTATATTTACGGATCACTTGGTAAACAAACCTAAAAACATTCTAAATTTCAACGAATTATTGAACTTCGTTTTCTCTCCCTTCGACATCACAGGGTCATGAGTCTAATAAAGAAGATACGAGTTCGATTCTTCGGAAATTCTTTCTTTCTCAAATTCAGTCGCTTATTGTTTTAATGATTGACAGAGATTTGGTCAAAATATTTTCGAAAACCAAGAAAAAAATTCCCATCGACGGACCACCAGTTTTGACCAGCCTGAAAACGATGACTACGGAAAAAAGAACTAAGCTTTCAAGCAACTGTCGCGGGACTTCGGAGAAAAACGTGAAATGAATCAGTGAAGCTAAAAGAAGAAAGACTCACTGAAAAATCGAATTTCGAAAAGGTAATTTCATCATCTCGCGGGGCGTGCTTCTCAGCTTCCTTTTTGGCAGACGTCAGTGTGCTTGGGATTGACTCGGACACTTGACCAGCTTCTGATTTCGCTTTGACCACGGGTGAATCCGGGTCCGAAGCAGCACCCTTCTTCCGGATTTTATTCCGCTGTCGCTCTTTCTTCTTGTGTTCTTTCGCCTTTTCTTTCTTCTTTTCAGCTATCGTCGCTCTTCGCAGGATCCGCATCTGCTTGGCTTCTGATTTCTGCCTCCGCTCGGGATTGAAGGAAGCCATTTTCTTTCGGAATCGGTCTTCCAGTTCCTGTCTGCTCATTGCACGAGTCGAATCTCCGATAAGACCTTCGCCACAAAACCGAAATTGTAGGAATGAGGGACTGATGGAAAAGACCCCCCACAAGAAAATAATAATAATGCTTACCGAGTTTTCTGAGTTCATTCCGGCGTTGCTTCGACTTGGGCTTCTTCGTCTTGTTGGTGGATGATTCTTCGTCTGATGAACTGGAAGAGTCGCCATCTTCTTTGTATCCTGGTTGATAAATGGCTGGAAGTCCCTGGATGTATTCTTCTGCTTCGGATTTGTACTTTAGTAAACGAGCGATGATGTCTTTCACTTTCATACTGCGCGGTGGAAACGCGGGGTGAAGAGTGATCAGTTCTTCAGGATTACACATTTTTTTTGCCCTGGCGAGATGAGAACACTATGGATGAGACACCTTCGAGGTTGCAAAATTTTTCACAACATTCAAGGAATATAAAAGCAAATTTCTCCATACTCTGAGATTTAAATTAATTGGAATCGCAATTCACCTTAACTAGCACTGATTACTTTACAGCGGAACAAACAGTCTTGAAAAAGTCCTGCAAGTCACCAAAAGTCCAACCAGGAGGAAGAAATTCACTTTTTTTAAACTCATCGTGAATTCACGTCAGAATTACGTCAATCACTTCTGCCCACATTACTATGCGAAATAATTGGAAATTTGTCGATTCGACCAAAACCATTCAAAAATGCCATGACGAATTTTCTGCAGGAAAGGGTTTACATTTTGCATAATTTCTCGGTTAAATTCTCCGCAAAAATACTATTAATATTTTGGAAAAAAACGGAACTCTTACAACGGTACAATATACAAGTCTTCAACTTAGACCAGGTTTTACGGACAAGTTTCATGTGAAGTTGAATTTCCAATTAATGTTTCCTTCTAACAAGTGGTGACTGTGCGCGCAAATTTCGTACGAAATGCAAGTTGCAACAAAGCCTCGGGAAACTTGCCAATCCAATTTAGAGGATCCTTATTTATAAAAAAAAATTGAACTACTGTACAAGAAATTCTTCTCGCAATTCTTCCTAGTTCTCATCATGATTAACATCAATGGTTTCAACAAATCATTTCCGAAAGTATCCCATCAACATCTGCGATTTAATACATTTTCACGCTATCAAAAATAGGTAGCAATGCCAGATTTGAGCAGATGCTGGTGACATTTTCTTGATGACTTGCGAGTTCCAAAGACCTCGAAAAGTAGAATAAAAAGTACATTCAACAATCAGGAAGTTTCTTCGGTCCAATTACATGACCGATATCTGAAAATCATCAGGATGCCCACAAAAAAAAAAAACGACAAAAAACCTGCCATCTCTTGGTTTCATACTTGGTTCCCAGTTTTTCAAAGGAAAAGGTCGGGTAATGAAAACGAAGTACCACTTCTCGAACCAATCAACGCAACGGGACACGCAAAAAAAAGTATGATGAAACATCACTGTACAATGCACAGTTTCTTCAGAACATCAGTTTTTATTTTTTATTTTTTGTTAGAAAACTGCATTATATTCTCGGAGGTGCCATGCCGGTGGATTTCGGACGACCAGTTAGCTCAGAACAGGGCTCGAGCTTAAAGAGGGAACCGAAAAAGGTGTGCTGGATAACGGGGAATTTCGCCAAAACTTCCGCCTTGTACATCTTCATCAGACCTTGGTTCACTTTGGTCCACGTGGGAACTCCACTTATATGCCACAGTTGATTGGAATGTTCCGCAAATGGACCCGTTTTTACCTTGAACGAAAAATGGAATACGTAATTCAAACCTTTCGACAACAAAAAATTCAATTTTCAAAAATTCGTGCTTACGTCGTTTATGTACTTGATGCAGCTCATGAGAAGATAGTCATGCGCATAAGCTTCCGCTGTGTCTGCATTCGTGAAACTTCTCGGTTCAAGCTTCGGGTGATCTGCAAAATGGTAGAATCAGGAAAAATACATCAGCCAATACATTCTACCAAGAAAAATTATTCGTCTTCCAAAGTCATTCGAAATGGAGTATTTTTCGAATTGAATCTTCCCCGACTTCTCCAGATGTGCATCGAACTTCCATCAATATTCAAGAAAAATCTGGAAAAACGAACAAGCCTCGGTTTGTCGGAGAAAGTCCGAAATGGGATTTTTCTTGCCGGTATACTAGAGTTTACTTTGTGCGTCATCTTTCTTACACAATTTTCCATTCATTCAATTTTAATTTAAAAACGCAATAAACTTTCTACAACGTCACGAAAAAAAAAAAAAACCGTCGAAAAGACGATTTTTTGTTTGAAATATAGTGACTAAACGAGGAAGAAAATTTTACAAGTAATTCACGTGTCACAAGATCTACAAACACGTGAACAATTCGATCGCGTAACATCCAAATTTCACACGATGTAAAATCGGAAACATACGAAAAACATGGAAATCCTCGAATCTGCCCAAAAGCCAAAAACGTTCAGCGAATGGAAGAGAATATAATACATTTATCGACTTTCTAATTAGTTCTTCCTTTCGAAAATACTTGTCAAGTTAACACAATAGTGCATGAATCACGTCCGGATTTGCTCTGAAAAGGTCGAACATGCTCCTTTTCCTTGCCTAGACACCCGAAACTAGATAACATGTCAGGGATTTCTTCTTATTCTTTCAATGCCTCATTTCCCTTCATCGGAAATTTCATAACTGAATGTTCATAACGTAAAAACATATGGTAGTCCCGATTTTATGGGTTCATCAGCTTGTTTGAATCACCCTGTACCGTTTGCGACTACTTTACTAAGAACATTTCAAAATTCTCCAACACAAATTGTCAAAAAAAATCAAAAATTAAAAATTAACTAACTGATCAGCTGAGCCGATCCCCAAATAAACGGGATGAACTGGAAGTCGTCCAAGCTCCAAACCCCGTGACTTCCGGCAGGTTCCATCATGTAGGTCCTCTGAAGCTTCCTGGCCAACTCCAAATATTTGGCAAAAATCTTCAAAACCGCGGCTGCTCTGTCTTCGTCACTCAAGAACCCGATCCGGAACAACGTGCACATAAACATCACGAAAGACATTTCGTGACCGGTACCGTAGTCGATTCGAGTCGCATTGCCCAACCCTTCTTCCAAATAAAGACTGACTTCTTCCGCGGCTGATTTGAGTGAGTCCGGAAGATGAGATTCGATCAAACCACGGCATCTTTCTTTAGCTCGAGCGTAAAAGTCGCGAAATGCTTTGTTGCCGAAACGCTGGGGCTGATTAATGGGAGGGATTTCGTCTATCCAGGTGGACAATGTGTCAAGGATTGCAAGTGTCTTGGTGGTTGCTTCGCTCACGTGGATATTCGTGGACAAGCTTTTCCCGGTTACTGAGTCGTTCAGTGCCAGGATGAAACCCACATATTCCTGAAACGAAGCAAAGGGGTCGGCATTGATTTTCTCACTTCAAATCGATAGCTAAATATGGTTGTTCAAGGGATTTAGTAGCGTGATCCGTCCTCTCAACAGTGCACGTGCGTAGCTTGAACGATTTTCATGCTGGATTTGAACCGTAATAACCTCGGAACATCCCTACATCGAATTCTTCCCAAGTCCCTGTCTAAATTTTCTTAGAAACCATACATTAAAAACTTCCCTAATGAGAGGGCTTTTCCTCTCGAACCTCAATAACTCGAATTTTCTAGGGCCTTTAGACCACCGTTTCATTGATATAGGAAAGAGGAAATCAATAAAAATGCCATGTGATGCGTTCTAAACGGAAGTGAGAGATTAATTAAGCAAATTAACTCTTCACCAAAGTTTAACATCCTGTCAACTCATTCAAAAGCAATTTGAGGCAGAGGATATCTTCAAAATCAAAATTTATTTTATTCCTTGTTTCCTCCCCATTCGACGATATCAATTGGATGTGCCAACACCTTACAGTATTTACTCGAATGTGTGACGCAATTTTTAATTTTCTTTTTTAATTTGTACAAAAAACTAGCGAGTGTCTAAAATTTCATGGGCGTCTTCGATTAGTAGGTTTGTTGGCAACGTTGCCATGCCCCTCTAGAAATGCTCCAAGAACTCACATGATAAGCGTCTGATTTCTCCCAAAGAGCCATCTGATCCGCAGACGTGACTTTTTTGGTCGGAAGAACATACTTGTGCTCACTGCCCACAGGATCACCTGCGTCGCGGTACGACGAAACAATCTCAATCAGCACAAAACTAATTAATGCATCAATATAACGTAGTGGCAAACCTATCTTCACATGCTCCCGTCCACCGAGAGGACCTCCTCTGCGAATACCACGCATGCAAGGAATAGCAGGCAACGGCAGGTCTTCAGTCGGCGACGCCATCTTGGGAAGTGATGGGCTCCAAAAGATTTTGAAAATTTACATCACTTGCTCACTTTCCTGTCTTCGAAAAATATGAAGGATTCCTCATACAACACTCTTTATGTGCAAACTAAATTCACAAAATCAAAGAGCGTACTTTTTCAATCTTTTTCTTTTCGCGCTCTGGAACATTCTTCAAAATATGCCCGTAGTTTTACGACAATGCGAGACAAAAAAGACGAGATTCGATGGAAAAGCTTAACCGCGCATGTTCCTCGACATCCCGAACGTAATGGAATCGCAGATTGCTGGAAAATAACAAGCCGTAACTTTAGCTTGCTAACTTGATTCTCGAAATCGAAGAGCGTACTTCTTCAATCTTTTTCTTTTCGCTCTCCGGAAAATTTTTTAAAATAAGCCCATCGTTTCGCGACAATGCGTAGAAAAAATGAGATTTTATAGAAAAGCTCAACCACGCATGTTCCTTGACATTACGAACAAAATTGAATCGCAGATTACAGGAAAATAACAAGCTGCAATTTTAGCTGGACGTGAAGTATGCACGGTCATCAGAGCAGTCATACAGCTCCATTATTCTGCCGCTCGAAAAATCCTCAGGCTCAGAGTCGTCCGAGGTAAGGCACGCAAGACCGGAGTTGTTCGGCTTTCCAAAAACAGAATCCCAGTCTATCTTATCACCTGAAAACACAAGAATACACATAACTTCTCAGTTCATTTCTGAAATGCCGTATCCCGTGTTAATATCGCCCGGTATTTTTCCTCCCACCACGTAGGAACCTTTAACATGAACGAAGTGCGTAAATGGCACTTGGAAAATGGCAAGTGCTGAAATTTACGAATGGTTCGAATCACGACAAAAGCGGGAAACAGAGCAGAGGCGTTTAACCTCACTTATATTGATTGAGGTAAGGATGGGTGGCATTTTTGCTTACATCTTGAGCGAAATTTAAAACGCAGTTCTTCACGAGTTTTAAAATTACTTCAGTCATGATTTTCAGAACATCGGCATTTGTTGCACAGTACCCTTAACATTGCCAACTTCAAAACAAAATTTTCGTCACAGCAGTCCAAAAATATTTATGCAAAACATCTACCAATTGTTGTCTATTCAAAGCGGAACGACCGGATCGCATAATTTTCTTCGCTGCTACATGAATATCGCTAGAGTTCTATCAAAATTTAATTATAATTAATATTTGATTCAAGTAAACGGAACTTGACTGAAATTCAACGACGAAAAAGATGGGGGGAAAAGTGGAAAGAACACATCGACCAAATCGGAGAATGAATACAAATTGAGAATTTGAGACATACCTCCGTTGTCCACATCAGGATCAACATCCAATTCCTCACTGAAGGTATACTTTCCAGGCTCTGAATTTAGGAGCAAATCACGAGCAGGTTCCGAAAGCCGATCAAGCTTCTTCAGGAATATTTCCTCCTCTAATTCCTCTTCCATTTCCGACCTAGCCAAATCCCTGTACAACCATTTGAAACGTTTTTTCTCATCCTCACAAATCAGATGGTCCCAGAGTTTAGCTACAAAATAAACAGAAACGAAAAACGGTATTGAAATTGAAGATGGAATGGTTTGGAAAAAAATTTCATCAATAGTAACCTTTCGCTTTTTTCAAAGTCACGGAAATTAGCCCTCGAACTTGATCTTCGCAGGACTGCACAGTAGTGCTGACCAAGTCTTTCGTCTGGATGGGATGAGCAAATTTGAACTCGATCTTATATATGTCATCTTGGTAAGTTCTGCAAAAGAAGAAAAAGATTCAGATACGAAATATTGATGCTTGATTTCCACGGAAGGGCAAATTTTCAATTTTTCACAGAACATTCAATTTGAAACTATGATTTACAACTCGTTGAAAACTTATTTCAACACATCATTTCCCGGCTTACAACTTCACTGGGTTCCGATGCATGGATTTTCTTTTTTTCTTCCATTATTTACGCGTTTGTCAGCCTTTCAATGATGAGAAAATGTTTCTAACAATCAAATTATCCGCCACAGCCCATAATGGAATGAAATTATGCGGCAAACCTCCTTCTGCTTGCTGATGTATGTCTTTAAAATTATCATCAAAAAAATTAAAGCTTTCCGGATACGATCTTCAATATTTGAAATTTAAGTCAAATGAAGACAGTGGTTCTTCATTCTCCGATACGAGATCCTACTTCCGTCCAGAAACGATTATTTTTCCGGTGCAGTGGAGTTACGGAGGTTTGAGTTAAAGAGGTCCGACTGTACAAGAAAATGCCTGCTCACATGAGGCGAAACGTATTCCTGTTCACGGTGAGTAAAAACCTGTCCCGGGAAAATACCGGAAGAACAACGCCGATTGTGACTCGGTCCACGTGATCCACCCATTGAACCGACTGGAAAGGCAATGGCTTCCATCCATCAAATTCCGAATCCAACGTATTCTTAGCTACCCAAAAATTCTGACTCAGACCAGAAGGGCGCAAAATCACGGGTTCGACGCTTGACTTGAGAACTTTACGAGCTGCCTGCTGAACTTTTGATCTGGCAACATCGGCCAAGACCAAGGCTTTGCATTCTTCGTCCTCTGAAGAATGCCCTTCCTTCGTAATTCCCTGAAAAAAAGCAATGTGCAGAAAAAATTCGATTCACAGATACTCGGAATGTCATTTTTCGACAGAAATATGCGTTCGACTTACTTGGAAGAAATCTGCTGCCCGTTCGTAATTATCGATTTCGACCCGTTTCTCATCCTCCTCAATGTCCTCCTCATCCTCGCTCGAAGAATCTAAACGGCACAACAAAAATCCTTCAAGATACGAACTCATCCAAAGAAATAATTTACACACCGAGACTTGAAACGATTACTGGAACATTTTTGCTGAATTCTTCATTCAGCTCCTGCACCACAATCGTCTTTTTCTTTTGTTTCGAGGATTTTTCTGCCTTTAAAAGTAAACAAAGTAGATGGAGTTTGATTATAAAATAAATCACGAGGAATTCAAAATTAACAATTCATAATCTACTTGATTAAATTTGGCTCTCATGAAACAACCAGGGAAAAAATCAAGAGAGGCATCACACTAGGTAAGCAACCGGGCTTTTACGTGTCATCCACCACCGAAGAAACCAATCCATTTCCATTTTTCTGATTTTTTCTATCAATCAAAAAATTTGCCTAGGCAAATGATTTCTGCTGGTAATATTTTTCATTACGTTGAAGTTTCACAAAACTCCTGACTTGTACACCGAAGAAACCAATCCATTTCCATTTTTCTGATTTTTTCTATCAATCAAAAAATTTGCCTAGGCAAATGATTTCTGCTGGTAATATTTTTCATTACGTTGAAGTTTCACAAAACTCCTGACTTGTGATTTGCTGAGTCAGCTTCGAAGTGTAGGTTATTGCAATGTACGCATGGTCTAAATTTTTAAAACTGTATTTTACACGGTCTAGGTTAGGTAGGGAGATTTTAAAGAGCAGGGTCGAGAGTTGCAGAAAAAAATCCGATTTTTGCATAAAATCACGAATAAGCAACGGCAAGAAAAAAATGTTGCAGTCGATTTATACGGGTAATAATGTAGAAAAAATGTGGGAAATTCGAAATCATTGGGACAAAATAAAATGGGGAAACATTTAACATTCGCTGGGATGAAAGCCACAAGTCCCACAACAGTACTGTCTTTTTATTTTTAAGACATTAGGAAGTTACAGAGAACAATGAAAACACTTCCGAATCAAACTTCTTTAGTAGCGCAACCAACAGGATGGTCACTGCAACTGGATAAATATCATCGAAGAAGTATCCGAAACTTACTTTGTTCTTCTGGTCGTCGGATATTGGATCATGAGCCTCCTTCAGTAAAGACGCTGTTTTTTCGTTCATGCATTTTATCAAGCGATGCGCAGCGGAATCCGATCCAAACGAATCTGAAATTCCATAAGATTTCGCGTGAACGCAGCAATCGGAGTGATAGAATGTACGAAAATACAATGTTTCCTCTTCTAAAGCAAAAATGAAAAGGAAAAGTGCCAACCATTCCCATCAGGCATTCTGCTAACCACAAGACCGGCGGAAACTAGTGGATTGCAAATGAAACGACAATTCCTGCCGTACACATTATCTGGTGAAGTCGCGGAAACAAATTGCAAGTGGACGTCATTTTCCAGGATTTTGATAACCTTTAAAAAATAATGTTCCTAGTACACATCAGCAATCGTTTAAAGGTTTAATCTTCTTACCTTGCCCTCGAAAAATCCTTTACATGACTTATTGCATGACTTCAACTTGTCATTCAACTCTTTTAAAACCAGTTCACGCGTTTCTGGGTGCCAGTGGGGAGACCCCGGTAGGGGCATCATATCAGCATTCACAAAATTCAGTGCCTTTCCGGGAACTTCCTTAAATTCCGCGGGAACTTCGTGAAAAACCGCTTCATCGATCTGAAAGGCGAAATTAAACGTCGATAAAACAGTGGTCTAACTAAACTACTATGAATGCCTGCTAATATAATATAGAACACGTGTAGTTCTTTAAATATGTATTATCAAAAAAATATAAATACGGGGCTCGTAAAAGCTCAATTTAGAAAATTGAACCCGAAGTTTTCCTCACCTTGAGAACTGTCTTGAACCCTCGGTCAACAGCATACACCTTGATTTTATCCTTGCCGAGAATTTCTTCCACCTTCGCTCGGAAAAAAGAGAAGCCAAGTTTCTCGGGCCACTTCAGTTCAACCACGTAAACTTGATTTTTCTTAGGCACTCGAACATACGATTTCTTCTTTCTAGAAATAAGAAAATTAATCATATTCCAGCGATTGTCAGTTCTTTTTCCTCCAACACCCGGTTTCCTCGACTGAGTATTTTATTTCTTGCTCAATTGGTATCTCCTAGATTGGATAATGCCAAGCGAGTTTTAAACAGGTTAGCTTGGGTTAGATTAGTGCGAGTTGTTTTTAATCAAGCTGAATTACGGCAATCTTCGTGACCACACCTTCTTGACATGCTCAGAAGAGAGAGAAAAAAAGGATTCTTTAAGGGGTCACTTACTTGTAAGCTGATTCCAAAGCCATGGAAAAGTTCTCAAAACTGATGAGATAGTCCATCGACTTCCCATTATGCTGCACCTTGTGCAAGTGACCAGTATACAGACCTCCTTCCACAACGTCCCAACAACAAACTGTGACCCACGAGTTCCTGAAGCGATCAAAAATATCCCAGGATCCATATTTCGCTTCTTTTCCTCAGGCAAAAAAAAAAGAACTCACAAAGGAAGATCTTTGACGAGATTCGAGTCTGTCTTGAAGAAATGTCTGTTGCAGAACAATGACTTCTTCTCACACTTTCCGAACAGGCGAAACTCGAGACACAAAGACTTTTCCACGTTTGCCCTTCGAATTTTTTCGCATATGACTTGGTTCAGATTCGTCTAAGATACGATAACGGAGTATTTAAAATACGAACTTTACTAAAATGGGATAGAAAAGGTAACACCTGAGGTTGGTAAATCCTTTCGCCTCGAATAAGTTTTAGGAAGTTCTCCAGCTTCTCAAGGGCGAGTGGATGTGGTTCCTCAGGGTCGCAGAATACCAGTACCTGACCGCCCGCATTTTCCTGAATATCGGAAAAAGAAGATCGTCGCACATCAGGCTATAAAAGTTTCAATAACACGGCAAAAAACTGTAAAAGTGATAAATTTTTAATTCATATAATAAATTTTCCAAACTTCGATTATAATGACGAAGAGCTCTATTCAAACTGGAAAGGCAAGATTTGTACCTTTGAAAAATCCAAACGGTCTCGAGTACAGCAGGTTCTGTACGCTTTCTCCCAGTGCTTCGAAAGGACTCCAAGTCTAACCGCAAAATCACGCCAGCGTTTTCCCAGGTTCCAGCTAACAACAACATCAACTTCGATATCACGAACGGAACCCTGGGACATTTGAGCGTCAGTCCATATCCAGATAATTTTTTCGTTCGGATTCCTCATTTGAGTGCATCCCGCTTGTGCAAGTCTAACGGACCATTCGGATTTTTCCATCATTTCAGATGCTTCCAACTTGATCCAGTCAACCAAGATTTCACTCGAGAAAAAGGCGATCGATCTTGCTTCCAACTCTTTTCTCCGCAACTTTCCGAAGAATTCTATTGGGGAACCAAATAACACGTGAGAACGCTTCGCTCTTTTTTCTTAAAAAATGGGAATACAATAAACTAACCGCGGACACAAGATTTCAAGTGTTCGGTGGTTCCATAGGTAACTTGGACCCGAGACTCGAATAGCATCGCGGCGGGAACGAAGTCCCACACGAACAACAACCTCGCATTCTTCAACGAGAAGAAACTCTGCCACAGGGCCTGGACTTGTTCAGACCAATTGGAAGCCAAGAACCTCATATTACGATCTTCAACTCCTACAACCGCCATTTTCGCCATGATCTTGCACATCTTGAAAAAAAAAAAAAAATTCCGAATGAGTGCAAAAATCGAACCATGTTGGGAGTGTGGTACAATTTCCGGCTGTCGTTGGAACAGGACATCGCAGCCACTATATATCACGATCGTGTTCTCAAAACTGTGAAGCATCGGTCCAACGACTTCCAGGTATTCGATAAGAAATTGTGGGTCCGCGAGCATGACAGCTCTTCCTTTGAGACATGACATCTGAAACCGTTCAAAAACCATGAGAGCTTGAGAATTTTTTTTTTACTTTTTTTACTAGACACTGAAGATAAAAACTAAAAATTGTTCTGCTCACGAACATTTAGGACTTGATGCTCACGAAAATTTACACTTGATTCCAAAAAAAATTTCCCAAGAAGAAACAGAATTCGCGCTACTTCATTTTAGACATAGAGTTGATTTTTTTTTAAATAAATATTCAAGATTGGAATCCATAGGATTCTTCCCTTTCCAAATGAGTAGGTTGAAAAAAACGGGAGCGCACATCATAGGCAGGAATACATTTTTCAAAAACTTTTAGAAATTTAGGTGTGCATTATACTCATTTTAATGGGAAATTTTGAACCAAATTCAACAGAAAAAAATCATTTTAATGTAAATAGATCAGTTGAATTCAGGTTCATGTCTTATTTGAAACTTGAGTGTTCTTATTTTTGAGTATTATGGTACTAATCTAACACGTATTTGAGTTTACTTCTACATTACAGTACTAGAGGGACTTTTTGGGATTTGGAACTAATCCACTGATTTCTAGATGGGATCTAGCCCATTCACCGAGTCAACATATTACTTTTTTTCGTTTACACTTCGGAAACGAATTTGAGGAAAAGTTTTCCGCTTAAATTTTTAGACGCAATCTTAGCAAGCCTTTTACGCTCGTCGCAAGGCATATTGCCAAAAGACAAATTGGTAGGGTCTTCAAGTGAGAAGAACCCTTCTTCCACCAGCATACCAACAACGACTTATTCTCCTTCAGTGGTTCGTTGAGGACCAGCAACTCCAGAATCGCCTCAAAACGCTTAACCACCGTCGTCAGTTCCGCGATATCGTGAGAAGAGGGCACAATAATCAGCACACCCGGAGCACAACCAGGATAAAGACGAAACTTTTTCTTCAGGTCGTAGCCCGCAAGGATAGACATCAAGGACTTCCCACTCCTGGGCGGAGAAACGATCAACACCGGATCCGAAAACAGGTTCTGCCGACTATAGTAATAGCTCAGCAAGCAATCCGTTGGATCTATGGAATATCCCATGGGTTCCAGCTGATCATGGACACCGTCGGCGATTGCCACAGATTCTTTAGGTGAGCTTTCATCATGAGATGGAAGTGACGCTGCTCCAGGGACAGCGAACACCGAAACGTTCTTCTCAGCGCGCGAGTTCCGCTTGCTGAAGCTGCATCAAAGAGGCAGATCATAATTATGAATTCAGTATTGTAACATAATTAATTGACTGGAAGGAGATCATTTTCAAAAACGTTACAAGTCAATTTTTGCCGTACCCTGAGGAACTGTACTGTATCTGTAATCAGGTAAGGCAGATCCGTAAAATTTAAGAAATCCCCCATCGGTTCTATCCATTTAAATGTTCAGCATGCAAGAGTGAAGAATAAAAATAAATGAAGTAAACGAGAAATCCGGACTTTCAGTCAGCTTCTTCGTACTAAATGACTTCCTCCTTGATCTCAAGCACACCGTGATTTAAAACAATGAAAAATTGGTCATAGCAGAACATTTTAAACGCATTTGCAACACAATAATCGTGAATTTTTTAATTTTTACACTTCAAGTGCCTTCGATCCATTAGAAAATCGCGCACCATAATGGAAGTACAGTACAGTATATTAATTCAAAATCTTGATGAATCGCAAATGGCTGCATCATCTATGAGCTATCCTATTTCCCCCTTTTTTCAATTTTGGTGAAGCCTTATCAAATTCAATTTTCCAAAATACTTAATACTATATAACCTTTCTTTTCGATGCTTTCTGCAGTGAACTTTGACCAATGTCAAGAGTTAGGCTTCCAAAACACTTAGACGCAATTTCTCACGAAAAGAAAGAACAATCAGATATTGCTAATTTTTCACAATCTTTCAAAAAAAAATGCAACAGCTTCCGAGTAATACCTTTGAAACAGAAAGTAGGTCTTAAAAAATGAATTCTAGTGCAAACAGAATAAATGAGCCAACTTTCGAAACAAAAAAGATGATTGACAAAAATGAGAGCAGAACTTGTATTATACGCGAGAAATTATGGGATGCAGAAGTCAAAAATGTTCCTCATTTCATCCCTGGTTCAGGAGCAGATACATTCATACATTTTTTCAAGTCTACGCTAAAACCAGTTTTCGTTTTAAAATTATCCTTCCGTAACAGATTACGGTAGATTTACTAACCAAGTGTCAAGTTTTGAAGCTCCTGAGAAGAGAAAACACTTGTCTGAAAAACTCACCTGGCTTTTTCCGTCATTCTTCTGCCAGGATCAAATACCACTCAATTCTGTTTCCTGTGGAAATAATCAATAGTGTTCCTAAAATTTTATGGGAATGCACTCTCGAAATATAATTTTTTTAAATGGCCACACAATCTACAGAAAGGTCTTTAAAAATCTAAAATAGGAAGCACGCAGCATTCGCCTAATCCCGAAGCTCTGGAAGAGGTTCGAACGATTTCAGTTCTGGTCTCAAGTCCAAGGAAGTTGCCACAGCTTCCGTTAATTCAGCTCGAACGGTGCTGGTTCTCAAATCACAGTCTGCAAATACGTAAATACAACAAGCATACGTTCATCCCCTCAGGTCCATACCGCGTTGGGTCATTCACTCGCCTGGGTCGGCATTCGCCATTGGAGGAAGGGTATTCAGAAAATATCGATGAGCTTCTTCATCGGCATTCTCGTTCCAATCCTCGACATTGATAGCAAGGTTTTCTTCGATGTTATCAAAGTCAATGACAGTTTCCGAACGAGAAGCATCGAATCGCAGCCAAGGATGTAATCTGGATTCTTTTTCGCATATCAAAAATGGCCAAGATTCACCTAACAGAGCAATAGAAGAAAAAATTCTTCAAATTGAAAAAGGTTCCAATTCTCAATTTCCTTATTCACCATGAGGAAGATTCACATGCAAAAATTACCAAGTTACAAGGGAAAAATTCCACAAAGAGAAACATAAAACGCATACAGTACTGTATCTTAATCACGCAAAAATTCTGCCATCGAAATTTTCATTTTAACGACCAACGTTCCAGACTCCATAACTTTCTCTGTGATTGAAGAGGTATCGACAAAATTTATGTCGTTTTCTCACTATAATTACTACAGCACAATATTTTGAATCAGATCAATAAATCGGTTGAAATCAACCTGAAATTTCAATAAATAAAATTTTGATGGCGACGATTTACTCACGTTTCACCTTCTTCAAAGAAATGACGAAGCTTCCACGGAATGAATCTGGGTTTGCCTTGATAACAATTGATTTTTCGGAGAGTTCAACTCCACGAGCCAAAGTGAAGCCTACTTGGAAAAACTCCTGTTGTACTGTGCTGCAAAACATGAACACGAATTTCAAGTGAAACATCCTCAAACCTCTTCGGCAGATAGTTTCAACAGAAACAAAGATTTTATACTCTATTTAAAAAAAAAAACCGCGAATTGAAAAACGGGGATTGAATGTAGGACTCACATAAAGCCCAAACTTTGTTCCTTGTCTAAAGAAAAGAAAAAATTATCCGGCTGATGCAAGGGTACGAAGATTTCGATCAGGACCCTTTCTGGAAAATCTGACCAAAATACGATATTCCTTGGCAAAGATTTCAAGCCTTCCCGGAAATTATTTCGACCAAGTGCATTCTTCACCGGAATCGCAAAAGCTTCTGCCGAAGTGCGCTCAGGGAAATCCAGGGGTTGACATGAAATGAAAGGTTCATGTTCCACGTGGTTTCGTAGTTGCACAGAATCGACAATGAGATTCACGTCCTCGTTTTCGTCGCTTTCATCATCACTACCTTCAGCGAAAGCTTCAGCGTAATACCTATACCGCTGTACGAAAATTCAGTGAATTAAGCATTTAGTCAATATTTGATTCAACTCACCTCATACAGGTTTTCCGCACCAAGGCTCTCCTCGGGAAGCTTTTCCCTCGAGTCTGAAAGTAGTTTCACGATGCAACAAAGACTCAATGTCATAGAAAAATCTCTTACTTTCATCATTTGAAATACACTTTCCCGTTGATTTAGTCGAATCATCGAACACTACGGAAATCGGTTTTGGTAGAACAGCTTCCTCCAAGTTCTCGCACTGAACTCCGCAAGCTATCGGCTCAAAGGACACCTTCCAATAAAATCCACGAGTTAATTGATTCCCGGTTCCGATCGTATTCAAGCAATTTGCTTCAATAATTAAATATTTTGGCGACGTCAAAAGGGGAGCGAACGGAAAGAAGGAACTTCCTTCAGGCAAGATTACGTGCATTCTTTCGGCGAAGAAATTTTGTTAATTTTCTCCTCAACCACTCAGCGTCAGAGATTTACTTTCTGCCGCCTTCGGACGTAGATGTTCAAAGAAATCAATTGCTCGAATAATGCAAATTAATACAGATTGAAGGATTGGTTCCAAGAACTCAAAATGTACTTCAAATGTCCCGTAAATTTTGTGGAAATTTCATCAAGTTTGAATTACATTGAATCTAAACTCTTGGGACACATTCGATTTTGTAGACACGTACATAACGGTATCGAACCGGAGATGCAGCAGAAATTTACCTACAGGATCCCGTTCGCTTTAATTGTTATTGATCACCTCTCAATGGTAACTCGTGGAGTAATCTGAAGACTGACCATTTCATCTGGGATCCTTTCGGCTGCACACTGGTTCTCCATTTCAGCTGAAATACAGTATTTCCATAGCATGAAAACTAATAATATACTGTATCTCACACGAAACATCCATGACATGCCTTTCATTCCTGGTCTTTTTACAGCGAAACCTTTGGAAATCAATTTCACGCCTAGAAGTTCTCCGTCGATCCATGGGTCAGAATTTGCATCTACCGCTGACACTGTTGTCAAGAGAACATATCCCTCGTAAACCTCATGCACCTGCGGAGAGACACCCTCATCAACCATTTATAACGAGGGATTCCGATGAAAGCTTGCAACGAAACTTGCAGTTCCAACGATGAATCCCTTCAAAAACAGCTTTCGGCTTCGATGAAAAGAAGACAGACTTTCGAAAACAAGGTCTTTAGCACGAGGATGCCAACGGGGGTGACCGTGGGCAGGTAATACGTCCATGTTTATAAATCGCAATGACTTGCGCGGAATAATGGCGAATTCCTCAGGAACTTCATAAAACTTTGCAGAAGCCTGTAACAAAAGACACGTGCATAATACGAGAACAATGAACAAATCGTTACATCATTGTTTCAATATTTCTTTTGACAACGGTTTTCTCTTTATTTAATTTGAAGTTCCCAATGAATGAGAGGTTGAATATTAACTGGGTCTAATTTTTTCGAAAAGGATATACAGTACCGTAAAATACTATCATGATTTCCTGAATATCTTACGATCGATATTTCGACACGCGGTAACAAAAAGGGGAGCACTTCTTTCACTTTTTCCTTTCATAACAATCATAACTTCAAACTCTGAAGGTTGAAGATTATTCATTATCGTCAATAAATTCGGTGCCTTCGAGATTTGAATAAGAATTACGATTTTTTCCACGTTAAGATGGAGTTGGAGATTGAAATAAAGGTTTTCTTTTCGAAAAAAATAATGCGGAAGGAAAGCTGATCACGATTTTTAAACCGTTCGATCACTCGACCTGAACCAGGTCTGAAATTTCTTCAGGGCGGATCACACAAAAATTATGCGTCACTAACCGGAACTTCATCAACCACTCCGTAGTCAACGGCCACGACTCGAATGGTTGCTCTGGTCTGACTTTCGATGCAGCCACGAAAATGTGTGACTCCGAAATGCGACTCTGTCGAACTGGATGAAACCACACAACAGGCGCCATTCTTCAAAGCTTCTCTTTTCAAAAGTTTTCCGGAACTGCCAAGTAAGTGAAAACTTTATATACAGAAGCTCCAACATACAAAAAAAAAATCGCCTTACTGTTCACAACTGTACTTCAAGTCCTCCGATAATTTCCACAAGGCCAAAAAGGTGTTTTCAATCGATGTTCCGATAGCCACTTTATAAACATTGCCACAAAATCGACTTGAATCCACAATATCCCAGCAGGAAACCAATATCCTGGAGCCCCTAAAATTTAAAAATCACTGTGCATGTGCACTATTCACGAGTAAATCTCGTGATTTTAATAGCAATTTCGGAAAACTTACTTTGTTATCCAGTTGCCTGGTGCGGTATTTCGCTTAAAGGCATGACGACCACAAATTGGACCAGTTCTTCGACAGTCTTGGAAGATCTCGAATTCCATGCACAGATCCTTATTTTCCTGACCGTCCGCAATTTTTTTGAGCGCACGCTGCGGGATACAATAATAAATGTATTCACACAAAATTTGAAGCTAACAAGCTTGAATGAAGAGATTGTACCTCGACAGACTTTATGAATCGGGATTTGGGCAAATGGTTGATGAACTCAACCAATGCTTCCAGATGAACACTAGATTCCACCTCCGTTTCGCAGAGGATCACCATGCACGGTTTTGAATGCTGCTGCATAAAAGAAGAAATTAAAATGGTCTTGAAGAACTTATAAAACTCTGCTTTCGCGAAACAAAATTCAAATGCAAACTCGCTTCTTTCGTCCCAGCAAATTTTTTTCAATCATGAGAAACCACTAATTCGATTAAATAAGGTGAACTACGTATTCGGTATTCAAGAAATGGCCAGCCACTCGGCAATGTCGGCATTAAGAAATTTACAGCTTATGGCGAAACATTTCCCTGCAACCGGATTTATCGTTTCCGGATTGGCAGAATACGCACTCGAAGACATATTTATGTTGTACGCTATTTCAATTTTACACTGCGCCAATTGAAGTTCTGCTTTGCGTACACGAGGGTTGTTCATGATGCTGAAGAAATTTTTAGAACACTATGAGGCCCTCGTTTCCAAATTTTAAAATCATTACTGAACATTCTCAGCGTACTGTCTGCATCAGACATTTAGAATGGTTTACAATAGCGTTTCACAGAAGATGATGAATTTTCGTACTACAGTACAAAGTAACTTTTAAAAACCATTTACGCAGAAAAATAACTCCTGAATCTCGAGAAAACTTCGCTTCCGCTCGACATTGTCGCAGAACTCACCGAGTTCGTATCACAATCGTTGCCTTCCAAAGTTTGTCGATGCATGGATTTCCACGAATCCAAAAGCGAAACAAATCTCGACTGGAATCTGTTCCAGGTTTGGCTCAAACCAAAGTGTATAATAAGATCGTATTTGAAGCATTCACCTGGACGGTTCCTCAACTGCGTCGACCACTCGTCATCCGCCCGAACAGTGAGGATCTTATTTTTTGATGAATCAGCTGATTCTCCGTTCAGACTCCAATCTTGAAAATCTTGACCTTGGATATGACTTTTGATGATTTCAGCATCAGACGCATTCCTCGTGAAGATGGCAACACGAGTAGCTATCATTTCGCCTACTAAAATCTTCCGCAGAAAATCTGCAAATCGTGAAAAACAAAACGATTCTACATTTTCTGGAAATCAAAGATAAGATCAACGCAACCGATAACAAGATTTTATTATGTTTACAAGGCGATTCCTAGAAACGCTGGATCTTCCTCAGACAGTTTTTTATTCAAGCAATTGAATTTCTCGCCTGCTCAGGCTGAATTCGATCTTCGAAATAAATAAAAAAAACACTCACTGGACTTTACTGAGGGATCAACATGTACTTTTTTTGCAGTTTTACGCAGTCTTGGCCAGTGATTTTAAAAAAATGACAAGCGATGAGGTTTTGCTTTTTCAAGCAAGGCCATTAATTTTGCTAACTATTAATGCGCTGGATCGTTATTTCTCACAGCAAGAATAATACACACGCGAACTGCTCGATACAAACGCCAACATGGAATACAAATCTTACTAGATAAATGTTCCATTTTTGAATGTTGCTCCACAAATATGACGTCTATCACAGCATCAACGAGCATGGCAGCAGGGAGGAAATTATCAACCATCAAAATCGGCGCAGGATGAAAAAAGAAATTCTTCCATAATTCTTGCATGTGTTTCGTCCAAGAGGTTGCAATGAAAGAAACTTTCCTTTCAACGTCGAAATCCAGTGACTTCATCTTATGAAGAATCCCGATCATCTGAAGCCCAAAAAAAGAATTGTACCTCGTGTAATTGTTCATTCAAAAATTTTGAATGATTTTCACTAAATGTTCAGTCTTAGTGGAACTCGATTGATGAAACAAGCTGAGAAAGCCAATCTTTTCCGATATTTTGAAAAAAGAGAATACCTATGGTGTACTTCGAATTTATCTAACGCACGTCAGTCAGTCACACGTTTGAAAGCTACACACACTGTATCACGCTTAATGTCAGATGCAACACAACAGCATTATGCTTAAAATAATAAAATCAGGGCAATGCTATGATTTCCCATTAAAGAACCTAACAGGGCATCACAAGCATATATGAGGGTTCTAAAAAAAGTTCTCGGAATGAAAATGGCGTCTAAAAGAGATGAAAAAAAAATTATTCTTTAGGGCAAACATATTCTTTGGCACAAAAAAAATCAGCCCTGTTTGACAAATTTTTTTAATGTTTTGCAAAATTTACCCTGGCAGAGTTTTGCTATCCGCTCAACAGATGAGGCGCCCTTCCTGCAGTTTTTTTTTTTTTCAGTAATTCCAAAGGTTGCCTCCAGGTCTTCCAAGGCAATTCCGCTATTTTCATCGACAGCCGCCAAAGTGGCCGCCACTTTCGAGCTGAAAAAAAGTGGCCGCCACTTTGGCGGCTGTGAAGGCGGAAGACCTGGAGGCAACCCTTGGAATTACTGCCACATTGATTTCAAGAATTCTGAGGGAAAGCTGGGCTGCAAAAAAAAAAAAAACTGCAGGAAGGGCGCCTCATCTGTTGAGTGGATAGCAAAACTCTACCAGGGTAAATTTTGCAAAACATTAAAAAAAATTGTCAAACAGGGCTGATTTTTTTTGTGCCAAAGAATATGTTTAACCTAAATAACGCCATTTTCATTTTCTTTCCAAAGACTTTTGTTAGAACCCTCGTACAGTAAAAGAATCTTGGTAGAGTTTAGGGACGAGAACGCATGGTCAAATCCGTTCGTCATTCATTAATTTCGCTATATTTCATGCACAATATTTAAAAGTAACACTGCGAATACGAGTGTTCATAAAAAAAACGCAATTTTATAGGAGCGTGCGTTTTTAAGGTTGTCGTATCATGTGCGGATAGGTATTCATTCGCACTACACTTCAGCATTTATCTCAGATGGAATACTGTACTTCATTTTGATAAACCATAAAAATGTTACTTCCCCAGCCAGGTTATCACTAATTAATTTTACAAGCCTCTCAATAAAAGCCATTCGATGACATTGTCCCGTTATCAGCAAACCTTACCAAGCTTCCAAAACGATGAAGAAGCTCATCAGTGTCATCAAAAATAACATGAGTGTTCTCCCATCCAGTCATAATATTGCCCGCAACCTCAACGATTTCCAAGAAAGTCTCCGGGGTTGTACACCAGACTCCATGTCCTCTCATTAAGTCGAACTAAAAGCAAAAAAAGTTCGGAAAAATACATTAAAAGAAACTGACAGTATGCAACCTAGAACATGTTTTCGGTCATCGTATATCAAAGTGAACCACGCATTGACGCTAATTCTACAGCAAGACACTTCGCTATCCAATAAAGAAAATACTGACGAAATCATTGAATTGAATCTACACCTTACCTGCAACATAAAAAAAACTTCGCAATGCAAATGTGAGTACTGTACAGTACTGTCCAAGGCAGTTATCTTAACGTAGAGATCAACCACATCTTGGCTTTACTTTCTCTCTTCATTTTCCTACATTCTCTGTCCCGTTGCTAACACAAAAATCCTACTGCTTTTGGAGTGTGCGGAATGTTGATTCATCATGCATCCAAGGGAACTTTGCGAAGAAGCTGTAGTATCTTCTCCAAGAAATTTCATTCTCAGATCATTCCCTCCCTCTGTTCACCTCACTCGACCAAAATAAATTTGAAAAAGATTCGCGTAAGATGATTCCGCAGATATTTAGGCAACTCGAGAGGCAACGGATTTCTCTTTCTACGTACTCCGGCATTCCTCTACAGTACTCGTTGCTCGAATAGCAGTTGTTTTCATTGGCAATGGAGTTATTAAACATTCAAAGGTGTCGTACTTTTTCAATCATCACAACAGGAGATCATGAAATGCAGTGCGGGAAAAAGCGTAAGGAAGATACGGACACAAAAAACTGACTTCTGACGAAAAAAAAGGACCCGCATGATTGAGCAATAAAATAAGTCAACATCCGGGATGCTTGTTGGACAATTCCGTATGCAATCGCGCACTAATGCAGAACTCTTGAATGGGAACTAGAAAGAAAAAAGCCATGATTTGTTCCCAGCTCAAATTCACAGCCGTTTCACTTTTCGCCATAAAGAAAGTTGAAAAAGCAATCCAAAATACCTTATTCAAAATATACTGCATGTGTTCAATATCGTACCCATGCATAACAAGCACGATTTTTCATTTGTAGAACTGCCTTGGAAGTGCGCATGACAGTACGAAGGTTTTGTGCAGGCTTCGGCCGAATGAGCGAATCACTTAAGCTTTCAGGATTTGCTCGATGCGTCTTTCAATAAAAATCTAATTTTGCTTGAAAAGTAAATTTCACTCACCAGTTCAACACCTTTGAGCGGTCCACTGCAAAACACAAACTTCGCGCAGGTTTTAACAAGTTTCGCATAATCCGCAATCGCAGCAGCGTGCGCGGATGATTGCGAAACAACGATCACAACAGGACTCATCCCAACAAGACACTCAGGACGGCGAATCGCGACGATCTCGTAGGCGGTAAAGAAGGCAAGCAGGGTTTTGCCACCCTTCGGGCCAACAAAAACGAAAGAGCTGACGAGCCAACCAACTTCATGATAAACTTTCTCAAAGTACGCCTCTAACACGGTGGCAATCTTCTCGTTCAAGTTCGACGCAACAAGTAGGGTATCCGTGGTTACTCGGCTGGCCAGGGGACGATTCGATTCCGGGCCGAAAACAGCCACAACCTGAACGTCAAGATTTTCTGGAAAAGCGACGCTTTCATACCTTGAAAAATGGTAAACCATCTCCATGAACAATAGCGGGATTGAAATAATGACATCAGCTTACCTGAGACGATTGAACTGGGTCTTGCGAAACCTTGACATACCTGTCAAATATAAAAACTAATTGCTCTCTGCAACGACAGAATAGTTAATTTCAAATCGCACGGGATTCGAATCGAAAAAAACAACTAAAGAAAATAATACACAGCAACTTTTCACTGAAGTGATCCACGCTTTTTTCAGTCACCATCTCCAAAATAACACAATAAATTTGGTGAATATCGTTTTCAAAAAATCGATGCAATGCCTGGCGGCCTACTCCAACCCCCTTCCTGACCAGAATAAACCTCGAAAAACGATTGAAAATAAATAATACCTCACTGAGCAACTAAAACGCCTCGCTTGTGTTCTTTACGCTGTTGATCAAACATTCAAACAAAAATCGTAGCAAGATGAAAGAATCCGGGTAACCATTCGTACTCAAGTTCGACACCTAACAGAAAACAACCGTGATTTCAATGGATATACGGTATTCCCGGAAAAATATAAATTCAGCGGCGGTCTGAATTCTCAGAAACACATTACTGCATCTGTACGTCGATTCCTTCCATTTCGAATCCAGACAGGCTAAATTAAATCTCCGAACAATCCAAGATGAAAAGTTTCTGTTGAAACGGATTAGAGATCGACCGTATCACACAAAATTGAAGGATCATACAAGATCACTTGAACGCAAGAAACTGGAATTTTCAAGCGCAAAGAATCTTTTTGGGCATCTCGACAAAGTTAATCGCGAAACGTTAAAAATTAGAAACATGGTTCACGCAAGCTTCCGAAGTATGTCCAAAAAGTTGCTGGCCACTCAAAGAGTGAACCCATGCTTCATGTGAAACCCAATCCAAGAAAATTGGATTTTATGTGGAGGAGGATGAAGCGAAGAAAAAATCGCATTTTTTTTTAATTTCATCCGGTATGCGATCAACAAAAGAATATCTTGCAATTGTCATGTCATCCCAAAATAAGTTAGAACTTGAGATAAATCAGCGAAAAATAAAAAATGCTTCATGCCTAACAGTCATTTCTAACCACACTAAGACAATTCATAATCGTAATTCACGAAGTAGGAATTTCCACAACATAGTTTCCGGACTAAGTCTCATGCCGTATTAACATTTCAGAAACCATTCAGGAACTTATCCTTCCTCAATTTTACCGTTCGGTCTAAGGTTTAAAACTTTTATTACATTTGGCTTCGCGTCAATAACCATGTAATAATACGGAGATTTATGCATTCGTGGAATTCAAATAAAGACAAATCAACTGGTGGAGACTAAAGTCCGGATGAACTGATTAAAGGCTTCCCAAACCGACGAACTCTCAACGGAACACTGTTACCCTAGCATATCCTGCTTATCACATCCCACAGGAATACAACGGAACAATCGGGTTATTCGGTCACTCAGGCAATACACAATTTCATTTTCAAGGCAAAAACTTTTGAACATCTGGTTTCGGACCAAACCAAGATAACCGCCATTCCAAAGTATCCCGCACTAACCGCTCCTCGTCCATGGAAAGCTTCAGCACGGTTGCGAGCGCTTTCGTCATGTGTAGAGCCTGATATATGGGACCAAACAAAATAATATTTTTAGAACTGCAGCATTTGTAGTCAAGTTCGCAAATACAGTACCTTCGACTGCAACATCGACTCATGGGTTTAAAAAAAATGTAAGGAAACATGGTATTGCACAAAAATGTATTCCTGTCAAAACCGCATAACCAGCGCTTTTGGCAAGATGGAGAAAACATGATTAAATGAGTTTCAATCGTCAATGACGTACACAATTAGAAGAATGCGCAAAAATTGCAGAACGCGCTGAAGAAATTTTTCAATTGATGCTCAAGTGCACCTTTTACTAGTACAGCCTTTCATTCCCTTCTCAAGGTAATTTTGAATACTGGATTCATTGGAATTGAAAATAAGATAGCTCCGATTTCTTTTCATGCAGTGAGTTTTAATCACGGCGATAAATATTAATGCCGTATGACCCAATTTTTCTTCTCGAAACGTGGATGTTATAACACGTTGTTCGGGGTTAACTGATTTGTTAAACAATTTATACCCGCAGCGGTGTCCAAATACTGCATTCAAAAATTAAATTTTAGCTTCAAATTGAAGAAGCATAACAAACGAAAGTTTCAAGATTCCACATTCCCGAACATGTTCATCCGAAAAGCGAGTGAAAATATGCAAAAATTCAGATGAATTTTGAGACTCACCTCAGTTCCTTTACTTGTGAGGATGTGAAGAACAACGTTCTTCATGTAAGTGAAATTTACATCATCTTGCGATGTTACTGCAAGGGTTGGTGGCGGAAGTTCACGACGAAACCCAATCGTTTCCTCACTCGACGAGTCACCCATGGAAGTCTTACTTGAGCCATTCGCTTTAGAGTTCAACTCTTTCTGCAAAGCTTTCTTCATGTCATTTATGCGCTGGTTCTGTAACCGTATCGTCTGCGGAGGAGAATTACGGGTAGAACATTCAATGAACTGTTTTGCATATAATAAGAGTCCAGCAAACCTTGTTCCTTTCGCCTAGCTGCTCTTCAAGTAACTCCATAGTATTCCTTATCTTGATGACAGCGTCCAATTTTTCAACTTTATCGTCAGTCATTTGTTCCGCTTCCGAGAGACGCGACTGCAGTTCTCGAATTTGAGAATCTGACTTTTGGAGCTTATCCTCGGTGGCTTTGTGGTTTCGTCTCTCCATTTCCAATTCCTATGACATTTTTGAAGTATGCCACTATTAAATGATATCACGCCTCAATTTCTAAACTAAAAAGATGAACAGCTTCAATACTTTCAGCGATGAAGGAATCCCAATTGATTCGCGCCAAATTCAATTTTCATTATCCCATACGTTTATTCCCACCACAGACATTGGTTTCTATCATGTCTGCTTTAAACTAATGGTGAAGATTCCGCAAGAAATAGGAATTTTTTATAATTGAGAAAACATTTCCTGCCCAACATATGCATGGAAAATCCTTCTGGTGATAAGCAGTTCAATCATAATTTTTAGAGCATCATACCAAAATCATTCTATAGGGGTTGATCGAGAAAAAACACGCGGGTCATTTTTTTCAATTCCTCAGCTACGACTTGGGTCAAGTTATTGATTCACGTATTCTTTTTACCATTTCCAGAGGTTGAATGGGGTGAAAAAAAGACTTCTGTATAATGCATGATTCTCTTTTCGGAATTTCTGCTCAGCGAATTGGAAACTTCTACCTCAACACCTTAGTAGCTATGCTTCCGGAGTTAGCATTCCATTTTGCTGCTGATTTTAGTGACTCATATGCTCGTGAACAAGTAGCAATCGTTAAATAATCGAAGAAAACTTTCCTTCGCTTTGAACTTGGGCAACTACACCCTTTTTCTCCAAATCACCGAAGGAGTCTTTCACAAAAAAAAGCTCACCATACATGTCGCAGAACATTTACAGTTCAGCGTTCAAGCATAAAGGAAAAGCAATTTGTAAGGAATGTATGCTCAACTCCAGTAAAACTAGAATAAACCTCTCACGTTTAACGTCAGTCGCGTAATTATGAATAGGAGCCTCAATAACGAGTGCATTACCTGAGATATTTCCGCATTCCTCAGCAAAACTTCGTCGTGGCTTGAATGAAGGGACGATAATTGAGACGATAAGTCCTCATTTGCTGCAACGTAATCCGAAATGGTTTTCCGAAGGGAAGTTAAATCAGCTTCCAATTTGTTATTCTCTACAGCTAACGATTTTGCTGATTCCGCAGCTTTCTCTAAGGTGATCAACTGTTCCTTCACGTCCTTCAAAGATGACTCCAATGTGGAGACCAAGCCTTGGGCTTGATTCAGCTGGATTTCGAATGATTCTTTGGCTGTATTTGCGGTTACAAGTTCTTCAAGTATCGATGAATTTTTAGATTGTAGGTTCTCAATCTGCTTTTCCAATGATTCAACTTGATTTCTTGCAATCGACGATTCTTTTTCCTTCTCCTGTAAAAAGTCAGAGAGAACCTTAGAACCTTTTCTGGAAGATAATCTAAATCTTTATTTACCTGTATCTGCTGCGCTTTTTGGGCAAGGGCTTCTTCCGATTTTTGCAACTTTTCCACTAAAGTTTCATTGTCAGATTTACAGGTATCAAGCTCGGCGATCAGATGACAATTCTCCCTTTCGACAGCATCCAACTCCAAACTTTTAACTTTGAATTCCTCAGAAATTCGCTCGAACTCTTTGAGACTTCGTCGAGCTTCAGCAAGACTTTCTCCCAATTTATCGTTCTCAGCACTTTCTTCCGCCTTGCTGGCATTTAAATGCTCAATTTGCCGCTCGAGGGAATCGATTTTACTGCTCCAGGTGGTCTTGATGTTGCTTAGCTGCTCTCGGGCTTCTTCTAGTTTTTTTTCCAGCGCCGTCTGCTCTAGCGTTAAAGCCTGAACTCGATCGTCGCCACCAAGCTCTGAAGCCGCTAGCCGACTCTCAAGGCTTGCAATTTTCTCCCGCAACTCAGAAATGGTTGATTCGTTCTTTCGCTGCTCGCTTGAACGTTCAGCTTCGAAGCTACTCAGCTGAAATCTTAGCGAATCACATCTGGAATAAAAGAAGGTAGTAATAATCAAGAAGTACTGCGATTATGTTCCGAACAGTACCTCGTCTTCACCTCATAACTGATGGAAGATTGAGCAAAATCATGGAAGGAATTGAATAACAACATATATCAAATAATTTCAAGCCGAAATACTGGTAACGAAGATGCTGCAGACACTACTACCCATAATATGCAAGAACTTCGAACAATAAAGTCACTCAGTCTAGTTCACGTTGGCTCACATAATGAAGTTTGGAATAAATTGTGTTGAGTGACAAGTGTACGGCTTAGATAGAAGACACATATAACTCAGTTCAATTTACAACTCCCCGGCTTTCATTTCCTTTTTCAGAAAAAAAAAATCAAAAATCTCTCATAACCGTTCCTGATGTTCTCGAACCCATCAAAAAGGGATTAGTGATTCGGCCGTAAAGCGCATGACAGTATAGAAAAAACGAACACATCTAATCTTAGGGAGACGGGACCTCTTCACTCACTTGTCTTGAAGCTCGCTACATGAGCGTTGACTAGTTTTGAAGTTCAGCAAATCTTTGGATAACGAGTCATTCTCTAAGCGACTTTGTGCCAGAGATTCCTCCAATGCTCGGTAACGTTCCAGTGCCACGGTGAAATCATTTTCTTTCTGCAACAGCTAGGAAGGCATAAAGCACCGATCAATACATGCAAATACATAATTCCGATTGATTTAAAGTACTTACCAAATGTTTAACTTTAGCTATTTCTTGATTCTGCAGGCTTTGTAGATTGTCAAACTCGTCTTGAACGACCATGAGCTTTTCTTTAAATCCTACAAAACAGCCGCCAAATTGAGAAATTCCGGAGTTCGGATTTAGATTCACTTAATAGATTGTAATGCTGTTACGGTAACGAAGAAAATACCTTCGCCTTCTTTTGCTCGAGACTCTAAAGCTGGCCACTGTTCTTCCAGGCGAGCATTTTTGTCCAGCACAGCTGTTAGGTTCTCCTTCAAGACATCGTATTTTGTTTGCCAATTCTTCTCCACGGCTTTCATACGTTCATCCCATTCTTCATCATTTTTCTTCATTCGTCGATCAAAGCCAGCTTGTTGACGATCCAGGGCAGTTTGGAGGCGTGCGATACGATTTCTTAGTTCGTTCGAAGAGCTCTCCTCGGGTATCGGAGTTGATACCGAAGATACGGACAGTTTCCGGTCCGAAGAATCTACTAAACTTTCTCGTGACGTCGATCGGATAGACGAATGTGGAGACCTGAAGCCAGAAATTGCCCCAGTGGCCACGGCTGATAGAAGGCCTTCTCCGCCTTCTTGTTCAACGCGCTTTTTCAAATTATTGAACATTTTTGGACCGAAAATCGCGGCGACGAGAAGCTTCCAATCATGGACTTGACATTTCTATATTTATCCGAAAACCAACCGCAACCAAAAGTTCCGGGCGAGGGATTAGGCAATATCCCAGCATCACACGCGTGCATGCACGCATCCGCAAAGGCAAGGAAATGCAATTACTGTACGCTTGAAAAATTCCCAGCGAACTTGGGCGAAAAACAGAATACACCTTGAAGTTCTAAACAATTTAAGTTCAGCAAACCCTTTCAGTGCCCGTGACAAGCGAAATTCTCCTGCTGTTCACGAACTATGGGAAAACTCAAACTTTGTTCATCACGAAATGTTCTGGCGAAATTCTGGTACCGCACATCTCTTTCAAGGCAAACGCTGCTTATACGCAGGGATCCGAGGACAGTCGGATTTGAAACTATCATTATCAACAAGTATCCCCGTAAGAGAAGCCAATGATAAAAAATGCTGTACTCTTCGAGAATTTTCAGTAACATGCACGAACATTTCTGAAAAATCGACGCTGAAGTAGGGGGGTTTGCATCCTCGTTACAACGCTACAAGAAAATTCAAAGGCAAGAACTTCAAACATTACCGCAATAATTCATAAATCCCACGCTTTTCCAGCAACATGTAACACATTTTTTCCGCTAAGAAAGTAAATGCTCGTCAATAATCGTGCGGTGTTACGCACCTCGCTACGTCGCATCCGGCAAAATCATTCACTGTAGGCTTGCAGGTGATAGCAATGGATGCGGGACAAGGTACCACTATCTCGCGTGCTAGGCCATCTGGAGTCCCCAACATAGGGAAGGAATTTTGTAATAAACCCGAGCTCATTAATTGCTAAAGAGCCTTATAGCTCTCAAATATATACATTACATCATTCATGTGAATCCATAATGCTGGTTCCAAAATATGTTATGTACAATAGTCTAAACCTACATTAGCTAATGGGACACCTGGAAAAGGTCATTAGGTACACCAACCAGCGTTCTTACGGTACTGCATCGTGTAAGGCATGCTACCGGAGTCGGTTAACGCCGTTTGGCGGGAAGTTATTAAGATTTCGATGAGTTTTCTCCTGATGTGTTGCTTAAAGCGTGAACTACCATAAGTACAGTTATGTAGTTTTCCTTGGGGAAGAAAGTTGACTGCATGTGGAGAATATCTGATCATGATAAATCGCCGGTGTTCCTCGCTCTGACGTTCCTGGTTTTTGCCAGGCTTGGTTTCTTGTGTTCGTGGAAATCCTGAAGCAGAATTTGCTGAGCTATCCTAGGTTGCACCCTGCAACTAAAATAGCTCAGAATCGGCAGTGTATTTGTGCGCTAACGCGCTGATCAATTGACTGCAGTTGAAAGGAGCTGCTCTCCTACTTGAAAACTTAAGATGAATTTCCGGTATTGAGGCATCTTCCCGGATCGATTTTGGAAAATCGCCAAATGGGACATTTTGACTTTCTGAAAGTTGTGTGATAAAACAACGGCTGATTTTCATCTAAAGCTTTTCACATGTTCAGCTGTTTGAAGATGTTGAGTGGTAGATTGTAAACCTTGGAGTTCATACTTTTGTGAAATTCACAGCTGAGGTATGCCGGCTGTGAGTGCGTCAAGTACAGCGTGAAGAACGAATGAACTCGTTGGAAAGGTACCGCGACGTACCAGATTTCCCTGTGTTGCATAATTTTTCCACAGTCGTTAAAGTTGAACTTGCTGGAGTTCCTCGAAAAAGGAAGCTCGCAAAAGGTACTTTTGTTCCCGATAAAAGAGTAAAGCGCGGTGCTTCACAGGGCAATTTTCAAGTAGAGAAAGGTACGCGAAGACGTTGTACCTGCTAGACATTTTTTGTATTTCAGTCTTTTTTCACCCAACAGAAATCTCGGATCGAACCCCATCTTGCGTTCAAGATGTGGAGATAAAAGACGCTCCTTCCCCAAACGAATTCAATTCGTTCCAATACTGGCGGGATCCGCTTCCTTTTATTCAGCTAAATCTTGAAACGGAGCCGATGAACATTGACTAACTCCTTAAATATGAGTGTGCAAGGTGATCCCGCGATGCGCAAGAAAGAACGTGCGCTTGCAATAGCAGATTTGCGGAAGTCGTATTTGAGAGACTTGAAAGATGGCTTTGAGGATGTTAAGCATGGAAGCACTTATCGCTCGTCCCATGTCAAGGTTTTGATGAAGCATGTTGACGCAGTGAGTATATTTTTTTTAGTAAAAATTTTAATGGTATTTAAACGCTTTTGCTAATTGCAGGTGGGTCCAGAATATTTTTTCCGAGGTCTCCAAAGTGGAGCTGCGAGAGCTCTGATCGCTCCATCAGACAGCAAAGAAGCGACCAATGTTTTGGATTTTGTCACTGATCTACTTGTGAAGTTGCAAATAGAACATATCAAAAAGGCGGCGTCGGAGCAAGAAGAAGGAGCGGATTTAGAAGATCCTGGAGTTCATCCAGTTGTTGAAGATTTGATGCTTCCTTGGCTTGCATCATCGATGGTGAGTCTACTTGAAAATTATTTTCCGAATGAAGCAGATGTGAATCACATTTTTTCAACAAAGCTTCCAAAGCATAAACGGCTGCACTTCAATGTTTCTGATGCCGTCTTCATGACAGGAAGTTCAAATTTTTCGGAGTCTGTTTTCCAATATTGAATGTTTGTTTATTCAAGGGCACGATCCAAATGAGTTTCTTTGTCAAGTACGGTACGTTGATACTGTACTGTATCTTATGACAGTTGCTGAGCATTTTTTACTCATCAGTAGATTAATTCTACCGGCCGAGCGTTTCGTTCGTCACTGAATTTAGTTGAGGGCAAATTTATTGATTTTTTTATTTGCGAAACCGTTGCAAAAGCCAGCTTTGAAAATGCATGAAATAAGTTACGATTAATATTCATAGAAATTTCTGAAAATGATGCTCATGTCTGATTATTCGAGAGTTCAGATGGGACGAAGCGGACGATGATTCTGACTTGGTATATAAATACCTCTCCGTTGACTTTTATTTTTCATTCCAAGAAAAAACGCTTTAAACATTGAATATTTTCTTGCCAATTGCTTCAGTTTTCTTAATGTTCTGACTGTTCTATATCATGTATTTCCCACATTTACTATAGTTGCATTTTAAAAGATGATAGGATTTTTAAATTGCATTTTTGAGGATTTTCCGTCACGCCATGTTTTTTGCAACTTTTGTATGATGTCCATGCTCATGAATTAATGGTTCAGCTCTTGTATCGTGCCTGTACAATGTCATGTATGTCATTTTGCGTAAAACAAATTTTTTGATATGCGTGGAGAAAACTGCTTTAAGCCATTACCGGGTCTGTAATCTGGATGTTCTTTTATTCGGTATTCTGAATTTTTCTTTGCGGTAAAACAGTCTGTATGTTCTTTTCAGATGAGTGACTCAAGGGATAGTGGAACAAGGTTCCATGTCATGTACTTGATTTCGGAACTCTTCACGAAATTACCCGAAACCACCAAACTTGAATTGGGTCTTTATGAAAAGATACAGGAAGTTATGCTGAAGCGTGTGCGGGATGTGATTCCAGCAATCCGGGTTCTCGCTGTGCGTTGCATGGAGAGAATGCAGGACTCCAGTGCCGGTGCATGTCGGGTAACCGAAGCGCTCATGTTTCACGCAGAGAAAGACGTGAATTGGCAGGTCCGCAAAGCAGCCATCTCATCTCTTCAACGTGCGTTTTTGTCCAGTTTGGGAATCTTCCCATACGTAATGTTCTAGTTTTCCATGTTTTTCTAGCGTGTCGCGCAACATTGAGTGCGTTTCTTGGTCGAATTAGTGACGTGAATGCAAATGTGAGGAAGCAGGCGTATGTGGCGATAGGACAAAAGATTTCCTTGAAGGCCATCAAAGCAGGAATCCGCGAGAAAATCTTCAGCAAGGGACTCACGGATCCAAATGGTGCGTTTTTAAGAGCCCATTTTTTTACTGTATTCTGACTTGGCCTTTGCAAGAAATATTATGTTCCTTTTTTCTTCATCACGAAAAAGTAATGTGCACCAGTCCACTGTCCCCAGCCTTTTTAAATTTTTTTTTCAAGCTTATTATCTTGATCATTTTGACCATAACTTTGGAGTGTTGCGTCTGCTCTGCACGTGTGTAATCAAATAGTTGTAAGAAAAAATAAAGTCGTCGCGCAAAAAAGGTTTTCAACAAAATTTGAGATTGAATGTTATCATTTGAATTTCATGCTTTCCATTCTAAGTTGGACCTCAACATTATAGTTCTTTCACGGGTAAGAGGCTTGCTGGTACATTCAAGATGCACTTTTACTTGCCTTGCCCAATGCTCAAAAACTCTCATTATGGGTGAGGGAAAAGTTCACCAATTTTTGAGAAAAATTAATCCCTCAAACTCAGGGGGATACAGTGTTGAACATGTTGAGGCTGACTTCCATATTGTTTATTGTTAAGAAGAAAAAATTACCTTGTTCATAATACAGTGAGACCCCCAGATGCAGACATAATTGGTGCATCAAGAGTGTCCCTAAGTTGAAATGTTCACACCTTGGATCTTGTTTTCCCTACATAGACTTCTACGGTAACTTATTTAATTGGTCCTCCAGTTCATCAACTATTAGAAATAAACGCCAAAAAATCTCATTAAATGTGTTTCTCAACTAAAAGATACGGAATGTCACTGTGCAGAAGATAGCCACATATAGAATTTGATCTTTTGGAATCTAAAGGGCTCCCAAAAAACAAATAAAAAGTACAAATGATGCTATACTGTGCACAGATGACAGAGAGTACTCAAAAAATGAACCACAAAATTAACCTTTTTTGATTATAAATTTCAGTGAATTTTCAATAATATTAATTTTNTTACTTGAAAAACGTGGTTTTTTAGATTAATTTTTTAATCTACTATAATTGTTATTAATTTTTTCTGGGAAAATAAGTGTCCCTATGTTGAATTGTCTGCAGGTAGGGGTGTCTGCATGTGGGGGTCTCACTGTATTATGATGACCAATGTGTCACCTCAAATAAAGTTACTAACTGTAGATAAAAATTGTTGGATACAGGTACAGCACTGTACTTTTCTGTTGTAAATTACATTCTTTGCAGTGGATTATTATGGAGTGTTGATTGTACTTATATGATTTTTGTTGGCATTTAAATCAAAATGCCATTTTGAAGCTCATTTTGATTACCCCAGCATGGCTGTTTGGGTGCAGATGGAAGACACTGTCTCTTCCAAAACCTAACCAAATTGCTTGCTGGTCAAACTGTAGGAACACTGAGTTATATTTGCACTTCCGTTTCACTATGTTAGAATTGTACTAATATTTTTGGAAATGCTGTCTTGTAAAACGCACTCTTCATTAGAACTTAGTGAGTGTTTTACCAAAAATTTGCACATCTCTAAAATGGAATCTCATTTTGAGCAGAACACGTGAGAAACTCAGTGCGCAAAGAAATCTTGCAGAAGTGGAAGGATTCATCTGCCGGAATCCTGCAGTTGTTGCAGCGACTGGATTTGGTTGGTGTTCCTGAAGCTGGAACTGCCATCACTTCAACTTACTTCAAGTATGTCAATGTGAACCCTCATCCAAAAGTATTTTTCAAGAACTATGGACATTTTTCTTTGTTTTTGCAGAAAACTGAGGCCCTATGAAGTGATGCTTCCAATCACTGAATTGATGGATCCGGAAACTCGGCTGGTTAAACCAGAAGCTTTAAATGAAACTGTGGCATTTTACTGGACTGAGGCGTATCATTACCTCAAAGAACAAGCTCGGAATCAGAAAGCTGAAGTCGCTGCCGTTGAAGCCCAAAAGCCTTTGAAACCCTTTGTCGAAGCGCCTGTTTCTGCTGATGAAGAAGAAGCAACAGAACCTGAAAATGAACAATTTTTTTCGTGGGTGACGAGTTTGTCGAAGATAGAGCCGGAAGAGTTTGCCTTCGCGCAGTATCTCGTCGAGTAAGATGTCTTGCTAGTCATCATATCATGCACAAAAATAGTGAATGTCAACTGCGTAATTGACTTGCAGTTTGAGAATTAGGTTTTGTGATGCTGCATTTTTTTTCGTTCCCTTGTTATACTCTGATGATCGTGCTTTCGAAATTCGTTCATGTGAAATTCGTCCATCTTTTGGAGTTGCTCTTTTGATGCCCATCCGCACAGTCCTCATGTTTATAAATATTTTTTGCAGATTTTTCAAGGCCCCTTTGAATTTGGAAGCTGGGAATAACAGGAATCAGATTGAAATAGCTCGAGTGAGGAAAGATTTCATCATTGAGCAGTTGGTGCGGTTTACGAAGGCATTTGCACTGACTGATCCGTCAAACAGGTGACTCTTCTATCCTCGATTTGAGGTTCACGCGAGATTCTCTCTGAGATTAATTGAATGAGACGTGTTGTAAACTCTGTCAATTGAATTGAATCGGTTGTGTAAATAGGAATGCGTTGACGGAAGCTTTCAAGACTATGCTCGTCAGTTCAGACCTTGCCCAGGATTCTGTCAAATGCATCCTAGATGTTTTTCCAAAGATATGCTCAAGCACGAATGATCGAATTGCGACTATGCTGGACGTCGTCTCGGAAATCAGATTTCCTCTTCAAGTTTCTGCTACGCGTGAAGTTCCTTCTGAAGATGAACTCACGCAGTTGCGCATTAAGGTATTTCTAGAATTTGGCATTTAGTTCTGTCGTATTTTCATGGTAATAAAAAAAGATTCGTCTGAAATTCATACTTTTAATGCATTTATCAGATCCTTTTGATTCGACATTCTCTGTTGAACAAAATTTTTTTTTTTACGCCAAAAGAACAGTGTCAACCGTAGTTTCCCCTGTTCAGTATCTGTTTCCTGCTCCATTCGAACGTTACATCGAAGTTTTGATTGCCTTCGAAGTCTGGGTGTCACTGTGGCCAAAAAAAACCATGTTTTTTGCTCTCTTCCCCGATTTGTTTAAACAATTAAAAAAGAATCAATTTCATAATCCGTGGATTTTTCTTCAATTTCGCGCAAAACTCGGATATTTCGAGTATGCTGCGAGAACTATATTTTGAAAATATGTAATATTTTTATGGGAGAAGTCTTGCGTTTGTTTTCCCCAGGGTTTGAACCATCACTCTGACCTTGGAGTACAGTTTGAAGATCTTTTCCGGTGTAATTTTTAAACTTTTCTAACATTTCTGTACTTCCATTATTTTTAGCACACGCATTTGTCTCGTGCCGTGCAGAGAGTGAAGATGGAAATCGATGGGGCCACTCGTAAGATGGACGTGGACATGATCAGTACTCTCACGGATCAATTGCGACAGAGCAAACAGGAACTAGAGAATCACGAAGCAATCATGAACAAAGCCATTGAGTGTGCAAAATTGGCTGAAGAAGAAGCCGAAAAGTGCGAGTCTCGAGATGATCCAGAGAGTGTTCGGAGAGCCCTCGATGTCATCTATGGCACTTTGTCAGAGCTGAAGATGGATAAGATCCCCGATTCATTACAAGTACTCAAGGAGCAATTTGTCATTCCTTCGATTTCGTCTGGGGATGCGAAAGTGAGAAACAGGGCTGTTGCTGTTCTGGGTCAGTTGTGTGTGTTCTGCCTGGACACCGCCAGGACGAATTTCGCTCTCTTGCTGCAGATCTCTAAATTGGATGCCGACTTCGTTGTTGTCAGTGCTTTGAAAAGTATTTTCGACATCATGCTCAGGTATGATTCACGGGAGTACAAATATTCATTCACTATTCATGTCATGTCAGCGTAGAACCGGGAGAAATTATGCATTTCAAAATTACTTCTTCTTATTTTCAAGCCTGCCTTTATTAGCAAAACCTTGTTACAGCAAACAGAGACCTGAGAAAAAATGTGTTATACGCCATATACGGTACAGTACTGAATTATTTTTCATGACGAGATTTTGAAAATGAATCACTGGAAAAACAATTTTGAAGTCAGACCTGCATATACTGTACTTGTATGCAATATCTTTATCATTTTCATCTGTATCATAGTATCATTTTAAACGGGAAATTTGAGACTTCGCTCAGATTATATGGTTGAAAAAAGTTTACCCGAGGAATCCTGTGTTCGGTACAAAAAAAAATTTTTAACCTGAGATTAGAAAGTTGTTATGAAAAGATTTTTCAGCATGTACCCTGTAGGGTTTCTGTTGGGACTTGGGAACAGAGTTTGTTGTACAGTACTGTACTGTACTGAAAAATGTATTTCAACAAGATTTTACTGTATCTCCTGAATCACTGACCGATTGAGATGTAAGGCAAGTAACCATATTCAGGCCACATCTACGTGAAAGTGAAAGGCATTTAGACTCAGGTGGACATAAAGAGTCGGATTGAAATCACCGAAATTCTTCGCCTAGTGTTGGCTGCAGCACTTCGCATCCATTTTTAATTTTACGAATTGTGTTTTACATGATTGTGATTGGTTGATTCATTGTAGATGGGGCGCACAGGTTTTTGTAAACGCTGCCGAAATGCCGTTGGAACTTCTGAACCCAACGATGTCGAGAAGCCACCAAACGGAAGCTACGGAGGTCTCGGTGGGTGGAGACGAAGATGGTGTGGACAGGGATGTGAAAAATGCTGTCTTCCGTAATCTGATGATGATTCTTGGCCAGGAAGTACGAAATTTTCATTTTATTCGATTCAAATCAAAGTCGGATGATCCATATTTACATTTTGCATTGAATTCCAGTTCACTTTGCAAGATGAAGAAATCCGAGCGACGTGTGCACTTGGATTGAGCAAACTGATGTTACGGAAGTTGTGGAGGAATTCTACTGTCCTATCGCGGTTGATTTTATTGTTTTTTAACCCAGCAAAAGGTTTGTTGATTTTTGTGATGAATCGATTGAAAGCTTCATCAGGTCATGCTTTCAAAAATTACAGGTGGCTCAAACCCGAAAGTTCAACAAGTGCTTATGGGATTCTTCACCTTTTTTTCTCTGGACGCGGACAACACAGACGTGATCCTGGATTCATTTTTCAGTACAATGAGGACAGTGCAAAACTCCCCAGTTTATTCTCAACTCGCTGCCATTAGATTGGATGACATGATCAGCTTACTAGTCGACATGGCTTTGAACTTGGACCGTGGTAATGCAGAGAATCCTGCGCAGGAGTCAATTGCGTTTCGGCTGTTGGGAGAATTAAAATCTCCGGAAATGGAGGATGATGCTACTGCGAAAGTCTTCGCCAGAACTTTGGTTGATCTCAAAATTCCTGCTGAAAATTACGTGTCTATCCACTCGCTGCGGAAAGCTGCATCAGCAGTTCTCAAGGTAATCATCAAGAAGCAAGAGTTGGAAATAATGTGCGGCACTAAACAGTGCTAAAGATTTTTCGAGTTACTGGGGTTGTCGAAAGTTCGTGCGGCCTTTGATCCGACTTGAGTTTCGAATCAACTGAGGAAATTCGAAAGAAAAATTTCTTCCGCACATGTTTTGTCACTCGTAATTTTTTAAAAGAATTTTTGGCTGAGTTTTCAGGTTGATGAATAATAAAACATTTCACCGACGGCCAAAAGATTGCATTGCTGTGTTTACCCGAGTACCACGCGCACCATTTTTCTCCAAACCTGAAGTAGAAAAGTGGGGTTTGCGTGACAGGAGAGTTTACATTTTTTTGAACAAAAATCAGGAATCCAGTGGTGCTAGTCATAAGGGAGTCTTTGTAGGAGAAAATTGTAAATGGCACTTATCCTGTTACAATGCGTCAAGTTATCACATGACGATCTAGTCGAACACCATTATTTGAAGAAAAAATATATAAAACTTTCAAAAACTTAATTGCGCGTCAAACACGGGGATAGATTTTTGGGCAAATTCTATGCCAAAGAAATTGACTTGGGTGTTTGGTACTCGGATAAATACGGTCATTTTGCCGCCGATTGAAAGATTGTTGATGAAAGCCAACTACAGTATTTGTATCTGTTCACAAATAAAGCAAATGTTCTGTGGTATATTGAAATAGGCTTGGGAGGAGTCCCCAGTGGTTGGCAGGAGCCTCAAAAGATTCATCCAAGCCTGTGACATGAAACTGGAACAAGCACCAGAAGGCATGCAGTTCGACAATGTGTCTGAAGTTGGCAGTGAAGCGAGAGGCGCTTCGCCTGAAGCAGCGGACTCCATGCTGGCGTGTCATTCACAACAAGAGATTGAACCAGATCCCACAATCGAATCAGATATCGAAGGGGAAGATGAAGATGCTACTGCAGTGGGTGTGCGACCAGTTGGGATGCGAAGGTCCATTCATCGCCAGCGCACCGAAGACGGCGAGGACTTCGAGATTCACCCATCTGTCTGCCAAGTAATGCTTAGATTGTACAAGGGGTGTCTTGGTTTCCACTCGCAAACTGATTCATTCATATTTCGCACAGTGCAGTTGGACCTCGATAACTCGAACCTACCTTTTCAATTTTCCTGTCTGAATTTCCTTAGAAACAATCCATTGCAAACCTTCCTAACTCAAAGGCTGTTCTCCAATAATCTCCATGACACGAAAAACCTTTTGGGTCCAATTATATTGACATAAGAAAAAAAAGCATTGAACATGTAACTTGATGTATTTTGAAGGAAGGGAAATAATATTTGGCCAAATTAACCCTTGCCTCCAATGTCTGCGTCCTGTCAACTCATTCAAGAAGCCATTTAAGGCTTAAAATATCGCCAATTACAATTTCCTGTTATTCTTCTTTCTTTCTCCCCAACTCGCATTTGTTTGCTGGTCCCCTGAAGTTCGACTAGAAGATATTCGACTGTAAATCTAGCAAAAATAGGCCCGTTCTAATGAACAGATCGTCCAAAAGTGTTCTATCTTCTGTCGAGGTTTCCAATCCAACGAATTTGTCATCGTTGATTTTTTTATTTCGTGGAAAATCAAGAAGTCAATATGATAATATGTGATTGAGGCAATCACATATTAGCGATATTACCCCTTTCCCCCTGACGGAATTTCACAAGTATTGATCCTTCACAATTTCCTGCAAGGTTTCTGGGCGACCGTCTCTAAAGAAATTGTCTTACGTGTTTTCAATGTCTCAAAAACCTCGTTGGTTGCAACAGTTTCGAGTTCGGAAGGCAAACGAAATTCGGTAGTTTTGGCTTGCTTTAATTCGTGTGATGAAGAAATATGAGACTTTTAGAACCTTTGTAAAGCATGTTTGAAGAAGTTTGAAACAAAATCAAATGAATGATGCGATTTTGAAAGACGATCATGCACTGTAATGTAATGTACCTAGTTATGAGGACGTTCCTAACTCAGACCCACCCTCTTATCCTACTTCAGAAAGAAACTTGACTATTTTTATTCTTATTTGCGTAGGCAATCCCTGCTCAAACGTTGCGGGAGTTCGCAGAAACGACGGAGGAGATTCTACATCGGTCTAAGAAGGACAAGTAATTATTTCTCATTTTCAGTTCAGCTTGAAAAAGGAATCCGGCTATTCAACCTCCCTGTTTTTCAGGAGAGAAAATACGGACACTGATGATGATTCCATATTCGAACCCGGTAAGACGAGTACGGCTGTGAGACCAGCAAAAACGCGGTCTTTGAATGCATCAGTTTCCACGATCAACGAGGAAGAGGATGAAACCACCGTCGAGGCATCTTCTCAGTGAGTTTTCCTCCAATTTTTTTTTCAAGCGTCATTCTTTTTTGCGTTTGTTCAGTCATGCTTTGGCTTATTTAGGGATTCGACGATAAGAAATGTTGACGCTGATGCCAACGGGAAATCGGATGCTGAAGAGAGTAAGTTTCCACATTTCGTCGGTATCGTCGTATAGTGTATTACAGTACAGTACTTGTAATTTGATTGTTGATAGGCCTGAATGAGAAAACTATCGAAAATGTCTCACCTCCGCCGAAAACCGCTGAACCTGAAAAAGAAAGTCTACCGGCTGAATCTTCACCCAAGAAGTGAGTGATCCAGCGAATTTTTCGCTGCCCATTTGATCGAAGAATAATCTTCCTCTCATTCCAGGAGAAAATCAGGAACTGAAACGAAATCAAAGACAAATTTGAAGGACGTAAAAACGCCAGTGAAGGACTTGAGAACAGGTTAGTATCTTTAAAAAAAAGCAAGTTCTTTGCACTCAAATGCCTGGCCCTGCTTCCGCATTCACTCATGTGTTGCCAGAATAACTTGAGCCAAACTATGTGATTAATCAGATCACGCCTGTGTCACACCATGAAAATTGTGGAAAAATTTAAACGATGTGTTCATCGTATTTTTAAGAAAAATCGTGGGGCTATAAGTACAGTGAAAATAACCGAATATGATTAGTTGTTCACCCATTTAATGATCCATTGCCGGAACGTTTTTCAAGGTTCGAAAAAACAAACGAGGTCATCACCAAGAATCTTGCTTACACCGCTTACACCTTCACGAATGAGGTAAGTTTACATTTTAGTCTTCAAAAACTTCAAGAAAGCTTGTGTAATCACTTCTTTGATACTTTTTGTGGCGTTGTGTTATCAGGGGAAGACAAGCCGCTGACGAGAAGAAAGAAATTTCTTCTGAGCAGGTTACAAAGAAAAAAAGTTAGTACCCCTGAAATTTTAATGGTCCGCTATTCTGAATTCGAAGTTTTTCATTTATGCAGATTTGGAAGTGAAGGACAAGGCTCCTCGGACTACGCCAAAGGTTGTCAAAAAAGCGAAAGAACCTGCGCCTACTGAATCTTTGTCAGAGTGAGTTCAACGGGCCATATGCAAAGAACACTTGGATGATTCGCGTAGGAGAGATAATAAACGTGTTTCTGTTTTAGCTTGGATTGCCTATTGATAGCGTGACTCTGCAAGCCGTGTTAAAGCCGAACTAGCAAACCAAATGAAGTGAAGTAGTTCGGAAGTTTGTTAGCTCCAAAATATGAACCTGTCAAAGTGAAGGCACATGTAGCTTTGAAATACTGTATTTAAACTTCAAATTTTCCTGAGTGGTTATTGAGCAAGGAACCCAGGTAAAATCTAGGCTAGTGTTCCTTGAACAGGGGTCTGCAGTTTGGTAATCAAATGCACATTTCTAGACTTCGTCTGTCAGTCTGTTGGTATAATTATCCTTCTATGCAGGCGGGATGATCCAGAGCTTCATATCCTGAGTCTATGTAGTCATTGAAAATCGCTGATCTGGCAGAGAACTGTTCTTGACGAGTTTTCCGCTGCTCAGACTTGGGAATTTTCAAGAGGCATCGACTTGTCTAAATCAATCCATCTAGATAAATCATCGACTGGTGCAAAACGTGAATCATACTACAGTCAAACCCCGTTAAACCGCCACTCTCACCTCCCGCCATATTTTTCCCCCGAACAAATCTCCCCAATGTTAAAAGGATGGGGAAACCTCAATAGACCTCCATCCGCCAACAATTTTCTGGCTACAAATAGGCGCCTGCCCTTGTTTTTCTACCCCTTTCAACTGCCAATTTGGAAAGAGATTCAATTTTAAAATATGAACAGAATGCAATGGCTGAAAAATCAAACAAATGGATGCAATATTTGCTACAAACTTGAACAACACTAATAAAAAGGCACAAGAAGTCATATATTAATGTAAAGATATTCTTCTTATATCCATCATGCTTTTTCTTAATTTTTTTCGGCCTGTAGTATTTTTGTAGTGCACCACTACCCTTGATTGACCGCCACCCTTTTTTAAACCGCCAAAATCTTGCTGCATAGATGTTGGCGGCTTAACGGGGTTTGAATGTAGAATGAACATTTAAACTTGTATATTTGGTTATCTGTGATGTAGAAATAATGTTCTTCAACGGTGATGTTTGGTGAACAAGTATCAAAGTACTGTAACGTCCACTCAGCAAAAATGTCGAAAAAATTTGAAATTCCCTTTTTTTTGACGATGTTTGCGTGGGAAATGTGATTTTGTGGCTGTAGGCGCCAGCAAACGTTGATACTTTTTTTTAGAAATGCCTCAGATGTTCTTTTTTTCTTCATGTGCTACAGGGGACGCAAATCGCTGAGAAGCCAAGACGTCGCACCAGCTAGAACTAGAGCTCAGGAAGCGGCAACAAAGAAGACAGGTAAATTCTTGTCTAATTCGAAAACAAGACGATTGCGGTACTTGAAAAAAGTCTTCGTTATTAGAACACAGATGAAATTCAGGTGGACTCTCCCTGCAACGAAACTCAAGGGACCTGGAAAAAAATCTGTTGCAGAGAGAATTTCGATTTATAAAACCCATATAACATGGAGAGAGAACCCGAAAAAAATAGTTCAACGGAGAAAATCGTTGTTGGGAGAGTCCACCTTTATAAATACAGTATATGTATTTAATTTTTTTTAATGCCCAGTCGCGTGTTTACTACTTTTTGAAATATTTTGCGATTTCATGAAGCATTTTGATTTACACTATGTTCGATTCGTTTTGCATTTGACCTTTTCTTTTTTCAAGGGTCGCAAGGTTTTTGTCTATATGGCCATTTTATTTTTCTAGGATCTTCCGATGCGTCACAGAAAACGAAGGAGAAGCAGAGTAAAATCCCTCAAGCCACCCGCACGACGAAACGGAGGCCGGAAGCTTCTCCCGCTTCCGCGACGAGGAATAAGGAAGCTTCTGCTGTTGAGGCTTCACCTCCGAAAACCCGTCGCCAGCAGCGTTCGAGATCTTCATCCGTGTCTCTGTCGAAATCACAAAGTGTAGTAGCAGACGGCAATGCCAGGAAATCTTTGAGATCGGATGGCAAAAACGAAACGATCCCCCGACAAAAGTCTACCGTTCCGAAAGCTGTGGAGAAATCCGTGAGCAAAACGCCGGTAGCTGCCGTCCGGAGGTCTTCGAGGAACACTTCCGCTCAGGAAGAAGACGTTGTCGCAGGGACGCCGGAAATAAGGAGTGCGATGAAGAGTCGCCTGCTTTCGAGGACGTTACGCTCAAGAGGCGGCCAGTGAACGTGCAAAACAATACAATCTTTGGATGTTCTCCATGTTTTTTAGGGAAAACATATTCTTTGGTACAGAAAAAAATCAGCCCTGTTTGACAATTTTTTTTAATGTTTTTCAAAATTCACCCTGGTAGAGTTTTGCTATCCACACAATACATGAGGTGCCCTTCTGCAGTTTTTTTATTTTTTTATTTTTGTAGCCCAGCTTTTCCCACAGAATTCTTGAAATCAATATGGCATTAATTCCAAGGGTTGCGTCCAGGTCTTCCAAGGTAATTCCGCCATTTTCATCAACAGCCGCCTTCACACCCCGCAATGTGAGGGCTGTGAAGGTGGCTGTCAATGAAAATGGTTATTTCTAGAGGTGGTATTATGGCTCTCAGATTTATTTTGGATGTTTAATACAATTTTTCAATTCACTGCATAATGATAGGTGGGAATTTTTCAGGTATGGCCTGTGTGTCAGGCTAGCTGAAAATCAAAAAATTTTCTGTTCTAACAATTATATAAAATGTAGAAAAGATCCTATATGGTTAACCCAACAACAATTTCAATTTTTTAGCACCCTGGGACATGAGTTAAGAACTATGGTCATAACTGTTGAGTATTATTTTCTCATCATGCAGTAAATTAAAAAAAATATTAAAAATATGAAACCCCAGAACCTTAAAGCGTAATAAATGGGCCATATATTTATTCATTTTTACAGTCATACCACCAAAAGAAATAGCCAAGGTTTTCTACAGTCCTATTACCTATATACCCACTCTTGGAATAACCAGCAGGGCTGTGCCCAGAAGTGGGACAAACCTCGTTCGTATTCGAGATTCTGCCGACTAGGTATTGTAATGGTGGTGGGTACAGTCATGAGGGTTCCTCGGATCCAGCAACGTCAGGCGTCCGTCCAATCAGCCCGCCCCACTTGCAGTAATCAGCGAAATTCGCCCCCCGGCGGAGGCTCGGCGTGAGTGCTGCACGCGTGCGCGCCAGCTGGGTGGGCTCAGCAGCAACACCGCGTGATGAATAGGGTGAATTACTAATTGGGCGAGGATGAGGGAGAAAAGAGATTCTCGTGATGGATCACGATTGCAACGCTGGTGATGGAGCGGCTGCCCAGCAGAGTTCTCGTTTGCAACGATTTTATTCCTTTTCGGGCGCCTCTCCGCCCAGCGGGAGGAAATTGAAATTGATAATCCCAAGCTATAGCTTGCTTGACGCTGGGATCATCTCCTGAGTGGGGTTTTTTAAAAACTTCAAATCCCCCGCGTCGTCTGGAAGAAAATGCTGAACCCGAACCACCCCCCCCCCCCACACTCCTGGCCTTTGAAGAGAAATTCTTCTATAATTGGGGAAAGTCAACTTATTCTCAATTCACCAGGCGTCATAGACGCGTTCGTGACGTGTGGTTCCCCCGAAGTTATGTCAGTTCTAGTCATTTCAGAAAGTGTAAATTCGCTGAGCTATGTTAGAACTGCTTATTTCGTCCAGTATACCCTATGTACTCAAGTAAAGTACGCATCACTCGCCAGGTTCTCCTGACAAAAATGTTAATAAAATTGAATCCCCAAGTAAGATGCGCGCCCATTTCAAGTGATTTTAAATCTTCAATATAGTAGTATTTAAAAAATAAGAACACCATAATTCAATTGTCACTAGCCTTGAAATGGAAGAGCTTCGCAGAACACGGAAACAATTCTTGCCTTTTATAGGTACAGTATGTACAACACTGAATCAACGCGGCAAATTTCCATCAATGAAGCCAGCAAATCCCCGCTTACGCAAAAATATCCATATATGCAGTATTTTTTTATACACGCTCATTCTGTATGCGTCATAAAAAAATAATGAAAGCATAAATATGGAAGTGAAAGCCACTTTTATTACAAAAAACATGTACAATAGTCAGAAAATCTCACCAATTCAATAAAAAAATGCAGTTTTGAAACCAGTGCCCGCAATGAATACCAATCAATCAGACCATTTGTCCAACTTTGCGCGGAAAGTTGTCGCTTTCTACCTATAAAACTTGTCAAATATAGACAGTATTCTCGTTCCACCGCCACGAAAAAAAAAAACACACACACATCGAAATAAAAATAAACGCACGTAAGCAGGAAAACACCAAATTGAATTTTGTGAAACCCACACCATTTGACCGACTGCACGGTAGCCAAACACACACCCTCGCGTGCGTCGGCGTATCCCCCCCCCCCCCCCCCCCCCCCCCCCCCCCCCGCAGTTCCGGAACGGCAGGGAATTAATGTTTCCTGACAAAAAAACTTCCCCGGTGTCACTCCTTACAAACCCACGCAATAAACACCGCGGGCATCCGGAAAATGCTCCGCAGCGAGTTGGACCCAAAAAGACTCACCTCACCTCCCACCACCGACTAATGTAACAATACCTCGAATCCCCATTCGGGAGCTGAGTACAACTCAAATTATTTCAGCTTTCAATTATCCATCATTCATTTTCTCTTGAAGTGGTAGCATTTTTCCAATTTCTTTATTCAGTTCAGGTCAGATTGTGGGGTCAATGGGAGCACATTTTTTGCTTTACCCACCACCTCAATCTTCCCGTTGGGCAAATCTAGCCTTAAAAGAAATTCCCCGTAGAACCTTGAAGTTCATGACTTTTAGAAAAAAATTTTCGCCGATTTCTGCGGCATCGAGTCATCCACACATTTAATCACTGTATTTGAAATAAACAGTGTCAAATACAGTATTGTACTTCGGATAATATGAGGTCTTCGTCACCACGCAGCGTAAATGTCATCAGTTCGTAAGTACCTGATCCTGCGCGAGATTTTGAAACACAGAAATTTGCAGACAAGTAAGCGTAGACGATCCAATGAGAATCAATTCAAGCAGGAGAAAAATGCCTTTTCCAGAGAAAAATTAACGTCATACACATTAAAGTCTTCTGCAATACGGTAGTCCAGAAATGCTTCTCACCAAACAGAAGGAACCATAGCATTCGAGATGACTTGTTACAAAATCAAAATATTGTGACTGGTGTCCTCCGCATATAATCCAACACTGGAAATTCTAAAGGAGAATTCTTACTGTATCATTGTTCACAAATTCATCACCACAGAATAACTTATGGAGTTCTAGAACATCAAAATTTGATCACGTACTTGTCATGTTAAAAAAAAAAGTTTTCTCCAGTGTCATTACTCCATGCAAAAAACAATGAACTCATCATTCTGCATATTAGAAAATGATTAAAAAATATTGAAAAACCAAGCATATGAGTTATCAGCCTTCCAATATAGTAGTTTAAACCTCATTATAAAAAAAAACATGGAGAACATCCAAAGATTGTATTGTTTTGCACGTTCACTGGCCGCCTCTTGAGCGTAACGTCCTCGAAAGCAGGCGACTCTTCATCGCACTCCTCATTTCCGGCGTCCCTGCGACAACGTCTTCTTCCTGAGCGGAAGTGTTCCTCGAAGACCTCCGGACGGCAGCTACCGGCGTTTTGCTCACGGATTTCTCCACAGCTTTCGGAACGGTAGACTTTTGTCAAATGGATGGTAAATTGGTGAGAGAAATTCCCAAGAACTTTTTTTACATCCATTTTAGGGTTGGAAATATCTGTTTCTTGTAATTTGGCCAGAAACTTATTTGAAATTTTATCACAAAATGTCCCTATATGTTGAGTCAGTGTCCTCATGTTGAGCCTTTTTATTAAGGTTTAATGGGAAAATAAGTGTACCTATGATGAATTGTCTGCATGTTGAGGTGTCTGCATGTGGGGGTCTCACTGTGTTTGGGATGAAAATTATTGATGGCATTAGGAATGACCCAGAAAAATGATACAGAACCATTTTGACTGCCAAAATATGAGCTACTTTTTGATACTATCGGAATTCGCCGGGAATTTTGCAGCTCTAAAGAGGCTGAGCTACTATTATTGGTGGCCTTGTCTCGAAAATAAACGCTGTATTGTAAAACAAAAACTCAGGGCAATGATCTGCGTTGAAGAACGAGTCTATTTTGCCTGGAGACGGGTTAATAAAATATCAATAAGAGTGTATAATAAAAGTTTCACAAATTCACTGGAAAGTTTCCCCATGGGAAACTTCAGTATAAGTCAAGTTTTCCTTGTCAGTTCTACTTCAAGAAAGAAGTATAATATTCATGCACGCTTTGTCTTTTTATCATAATCCACAAAGCAAAAGAAAAACTAGTCTTCGGCGTTTTTGAGTTCATCTACGTAATTTTTATTTGAACATCCGTGCTTGCTGTCTCATAAAAACCCGCAAGCATAAATTCAAATTTATTCTCAAGTGAGAAATTATCTGGCTGAAGCTTCGTCATCATCATCGTCATGGGATACAATATATCCCTTAGGTTACAATGCATTAAAAAAAACCACAATTCAGACAAGGAAGAAGTAAATCACCTCCTCAAAGTGACTTTTACTTAGAAGGAATCAATGAATCAATCAGTCTCCGAATTGAAATCATCTCCTTTCTCTCTCCAAGAAGCAAGTTTGAGCTGCTGAACTTCCAACTGCTGCTTTCTCCATTTGATCCTCCTGTTTTGAAACCAAACCTTCACCTATTTCCAAAAACATTGAAAATACATTTTCAAATATGGATAAGCATGATTCCATTGAATATTTGTGGCATGTCTTACTTTCATTATAAACTTGAATTTTGATTCATATTTACTTAAATATCTTCTTCCAAATTGTTTTTGGAAAACTAGGGTAGGGCTTATATCCTCTGGACATTTAAGGGCATTGCAATAATAGTTGGGTTTTTATCTTGAGAAACATTTATTGAAGTGTGGCCTACACTTTGGGGTAATACAAAACGAGTTCCAAATCAAGGCACTTTCTGCTAAAATCTGAACCAATGTTCTGCAACCCAGCATAATCCATAGACAAGTGTCAGTCTGCAGACGTTTTTGTTGGTCTGCAGAAAATGTTCTTCAGCAGAATAAATTTATCTAAGGTAATATAATGAAGTCTGGTAGCTTTAACCAAATTTTTGGAAAGACGTTGGCAGTTGAAATTATCTGATGAAAACTAGATGTTG